CCGCGGGGGCCGCGGGGAGCCTCGATGGCTGGGCACCGTGTGCTGCTGCTGCTCCCATCTCCACCCGGCCCATTCCCCCGGAGCTGGGAGGAAATGGCCGGGCTGCCTGTTTCGCCTTCCTGGGATTACAAAATATCCCCCTCTAGTGGTAGAAGGCGGAATAGCAGCTTCCCATTACTTTCTATGGACGGTGCAGAGCAGATACGGATTACAATGTTTTTCAATGCATTCCTATGGGAATGCAGATTTTGACCTGCAAACGTTTTGACCTGCAAACCGCCTTCCAATACAGATTAAGTTCGCAAGTCAAAACCCCACTGTACCCTGCATGACAGGTTTTTTTGCTAGACATTGACTTTTTGCGATTGCTATAGCGATTCGCAAAACAGTGATTCCTATGGGGGAATTTTGCTGGACAATGTTTGGTCCCTGCTTCGCAAACCGATTTTCGCTATACAACGATTTTGACAGCACGCAAAATGGGTGTTTTTGGGACCTAAGCTTCGCAAGACAGCTATTTAAACAGCTGATCGGCGGTTCGCAAAGTGACTTTTCTATGGCCAATCTTCACTAGACAACGACGATTCTTCCCCATTGGAACGCATTAAATAGGTTTCAATGCATTCCAATAGGGAAATGCTTTTTGCTAGACAATGATTTCGCTAAACAGTGATTTTAGTGAAATGGATTATCATCATCTAGCGAGGCACCACTGTACTAATGGAGTTGCACTGGCATATTTATACAATAAGATTCCAGACAACAGATTATTAAAACAGCTGTTAAACAATTATTAAATACACACAAAAAAGAAGCAGCCATGAAAACATGCTCTGCCCATAATACGTCTGATTGACTTCACAATTAATTTGTAGGCCCTATGCACAGAGACCTTTCACAAGTATTTGTGAGCTATCACACAACGTTCCTGCACATGACTCACTTACAGTAATCTCCACCCTCCAAAGATGCTTCATACCCTCTCTTACCAAATGAAGTGGTTCCCAGGGCTGGGGATAAAATCAAACTTGGTACTGACACGGCCACTCTCATGTTGCAGATAAGATGTCTCCACACTGAGGTGCTGGGTGTGCTTAGCATGCTGAGAGATCCAATTCAGCAGCCAGTAGTAGCTCTTGTCCTTGCTTGGGATTTCCAGAGTGATCATGCAATGACGCCTGAAAGCCATCAGGCCAAACTGGCTCCCTTTACGGGCCAAGGCCAATGCGGTACCTACACCAACCAGGCCAAAGCCAGCTCCAAAATATGGATTGTCCTTGAGAGCCAAGATAAAGTCAGAAAAGGGCATTGTTGTGGGTAGGATGAGGAAAGGTTCAGGTGTCAAAGTACTCCCAGTGGCATTTCTCCTAAATGATAAAACAGAACCTAAGTGTCAAAAGAGAAATATAAATATAAATGGATTAACAAACACTGATAGACAAGTCTGTTATTCCTAAATACAGTGGTGCCTCGCTTAATGAGCGCACCATTTAACGATGAATCCGCATAGCGATCTGTTTTTTCAGATCGCTAATGCGATCGCATTGTGATGTTTTAGTGGGCAAAACATCGCATTGCGATGATCGGTAAGCGTTTCGCTTACCGATCTTCGCATTGCAATGTTTTTTAAACAGCTGATCGGCCGTTCCAAAATGGCCGCCGGACGCCCAAAATGGCCGCCGCAACCATTTTTGCGCCCTGCCCTTGCTTACCGAGGGCACGAAAATGGCGGCGCTATGGAGGAACTTCACTGAACGGTGAGTTTAGGGCCCCATGGGAACGCATTAAACAAAGTTTAATGCGTTCCTATGGGGTTTTTTGATCCGTTTAGCGATGTTTTTGCATAGCGACGATTAATCCGGAACGGATTAACGTCGCTATGCGGGGCACCACTGTACATGACTGCTTAATCCATAGGAGGAGGTCTATTAAACCATTTCCCACTTGTTGTTTTCAGGCAAGACAGAGAAAACATTTTTGACTCAGCTCCGTGCCCCTGTCCTGCCTACTGTGAAGTTACTTTTTGGGAGGCCCTTCCTCTCTATCTTAATTGATATAATCCAGTTGCTTAGCATAGCAAGACAAACTAGAATAGGCCATTCAATCAGTGAGGATTTGGTGTTTCAACTCCTCCATAAGTGGGCCTACTTTAGTTATGACTTACTTTAACACTTTCAAAGCAAGACTACTTTAGCAGCTCATTCTTTTCTCCAGCTTGCTTTTAAAAGGGCATACAATATCTACTCACAATGGCCACCATGGAAACTATTCAATCTTACCACAGTATTTTAGAAATCTATAACAGTAGCTGCCATGAGCTAAGAAGACAAATCTTGTTCCATGCCTAAATATAAAATATGAACAACTATGTTGCATCAGTTCCTCATAAATCCTGATACATTCTTTCAAGAAATATCAAAACGAGGTTGCAAATCTATATTATGCACACTTACTTTGGAACAGTAATGGAAAACCTAACAGAAAAAGGCTTGCATTTAGTTAACAATGAGATCAGATATTGAGGTCACTAATAGTTAATTGCATCCCTGTTATTATTTTACTGTTCATTCTTTTAAACTAACATTCCTTTCTCTGCTTAGGAGTAGTTCCCACTAAACAAACTGGAATTTACAGCTTAATAAATATGTATGAGCTATTGTTACTCTTGCATTCTGCAGAGTAAGAACATTTCCCTCACATTCTAAAATTGCACTGTATTGTTTTCAAGTATTTATACACAGCAACCTCCATTTGCTGAGTTGCTTTCCTTCCTTTTCCCTTTTTAATGGCTGGGATCAAAAGTGCATTCAAGGCATTCAAGAGCTCAAGAACAACCAGACGGATCTGGACTTCTTGGAAATTTAGATCCCATGCCTCATGACAAGAAGACATTGAAAATCTTCTCAAAAAAGGTTTGCTGTTTGCCCTAAGAAAAGGTGTTTGAGAAAAATAAATCTAAATAGATTATTGGATTTTTTAAAAATCCCACTGAGTGCCTATAGGAAGCCAGTTGAATAAAACCGTGCCAGTTCTAAAATGTTATCTCCAGGCAAGATACAAATATCAAATAATTGCCCAAATATGTTTTGCAATACATGTTTCCTCAAAGTTTTCCAATATTTGTGATGATGCCATTTCTGCAAGGGGTCCACGTGGGTGCTGAAGCAAGCAACAATGGGTTAACAAAATCCTCAGTTAAAACTTTGAGGCCTAAATCCAATAGTTAGTTCACTTACCAAGTTTTTATGATTCACTACATCTGTGGAAGTGAAAGGAAAGTCCAATGCTGCAAAGAAAAATATTGCATAGGAACCCGGAATGTAAGATCTATGAACCTTGATCAGCTGGATGTGGTCAAAGACGAGATGGCAAGAATAAACATTGACATCATGGGTGTCAGTGAACTAAAATGGACAGGAATGGATGAATTCAATTCAGACGATTACCGCACAGGCTATTGTGGGCAAGAATTCCACAGAAGAAATGCAGTAGCCCTCACAGTCAACAAAAGAGTGGAAAAAGCTGTACTGGGATACAATCTTAAGAATGATAGAATGATGTCAATATGAATCCAAAGCAGACCTTTCAACATCACAGTAATCCAAGTGTATGCACCAACCACCGATGCTGAAGAGGCTGAAATTGACCAATTCTATGAAGACTTACACCACCTTCTAGAACTGACACCAAAGAAAGATGTTCTTGTCATTATAGGAGATTGGAATGCTAAAGTACGGAGTCAAGAGATAAGAGAAACAACAGGTAAGTTTGGCCTTGAAGTTCAAAATGAAGCAGGGCACAGGCTAAGTGAGGGTGAAAGAGGAGAGCACAAAAATGGTCTGAAGCTCATCATCAGAAATAAGATCGTGGCCACTGGTCCCATCACTTCCTAGCAAACAGAAGGGGAAGATATGGAGGCATTGACAGATATTGGGCTCCATGATCACTGCAGATGGTGACAGCAGCCACGAAAGATGCCTGTTTCTTGGGAGGAAAGCGATGACAAACCTAGACAGCATCTTAAAAAGCAGAGACATCACCTTGCCAACAAAGGGCCACATAGTCAAAGCTACGGTTTTTCCAGTAGCAATGTATGGAGGTGAGAGCTGGACCATAAAGAAAGCTGACTGCCTAAGAATTGATGCTTTTGAATTGTGGGGCTGGAGGAGACTCTTGAGAGGCCCCTGGACTGCAAGGAGAACAAACCTATCCATTCTGAAGGAAATCAACCCTGAGCGCTCTCTGGAAGGATAGATCCTGAAGCTGAGGCTCCAATACTTTGGCCATCTCATGAGAAGAGAAGACTCCCTGGAAAAGCCCGATGTTGGGACAGTGCGAAGGCAAGAGGAGAAGGAGATGACAGAGGATGAGATGGTTGGACAGTGTCTGCAAAGCCACCAACATGAATTTGACCCAAAGAGGCAGTGGAAGACAGGAGGGCTTTGCGGGCTCTGGTCCATGGGGTCACGAAGATTCAGACACAACTAAACAATAACAAAAAAATCTGTTCTAGCTGGGACTAAGAACTGCAGTTGGGCCTTATTCTGCAGACATTTTGATACAGTGGAGATACAGATTTCTAATCACTAATTCAGAATGTGATCAAGAGCAGATTTTTAAAAAGTATCCATTTGGTTTGGAAGATTGTTCAAGGCAACACCTCTTTCTGTTTCAAACTCCAGGTATCAACTTTGAGCCCTTGTCTTTAAAAAAGAAAAAGAAAAGAAAAGGAATATGTAATGTGATATGCTGCAACATTTAGTGTATTTGCATTTACCCATGCCAAAGTTCTCCATCTAAAATTACTGTTATTCTGAAGTCCAATTTCGGCACCATGTCTGAAAATAAGCTCAGAAAATCAAAGGGAAGTTTTAATTAAATTGATCCTTGAGCAGTTTCCGTGCCCTTTTTTCCCCACTAAGAAGCGAATACTGTAATAGTCCTTTCTTACAGCTATTTTAAGATGAGGAAGAAAGGTTTAGATAGATTTGTAGGGTTTTGGCCCGGAACTGTTTGCAAAGGAAGGCCCAAATTCTGCAAATGTGTCTAAAGCTTTCCTCCCACACCTTACGACCTGCAAGGAAAGAGCCGGCTTTGCTCCTGTCTTCCTACTTCGAAAAGCGGTCCACCAAGTAGCTTGCCTCCCTCTCCCTCTCCTCCTCCTCCTTGAGTGTCATCGCTGCTATAACATACTCTCTCCCCCCCTCCCCTTACACCATCCCTCTGCAAAAGAACACCACGCTCTCTACAGACCCCACGTTTCCCTCGGATCCAGCCCAGCGCCCTCACCTCCTCTAAGCGCCGCTCTGCTCCTGACTTTTCTCTATGGTTAATGGGACAACCGGGACAAGGTTGCCTCTCACTCAGTGGTTTCCATAGAGGCCATCCTCTTTATAAGGCCAGAGTGGCACCGACCCGTCCCTTGGAACTTCAGAAACCGGAGTACAAAAAAAGTTCAATTTTGCACCGGAAATAGCACAACGCCGACGTTGTTCTACTGCTTAATTCCCCCCCATCAGTGTAAAGCTTAGCGCCAGAGATGGAGGTTATTGTTATTGTTATTATTGAAGCAGTGATTACTAGTACTAAGTGGCCTGAAGAGATGTGTTTTCCTGAACTCTGTGGTTCCTAAGGGACCACGGCGAGACTGTATTCCTGAGGTAGGAAGGTACTCTACATTTTTCTCTCTCTATAGTGACAGGAGGGCGCTCTATCTTCTCCTCTCTATAGTACCGCTTCCGGGCCGCAAAACCCGAGCTCCTCCAGTCTACCGTTACCATAGAGTTGTCCGAGAGAGGTGGGGGGAGCACAAAGAGGGAGGGAGGGAGGGAAGGGGTGTGTGTGTGTGTACGAGAGAGACTCTTCTCTTGCTTTCCTCCCCTCCCTATACGGCAAAGAGAGGAAGTCCTCGAGAGGATGAGCAACGTGGGGGGAGAGAAGATGCAGCTGAGGGGGAGGTGAGAAGAAGAAGAACCACCACCTCTTCTTTTCCCAGCAGAAGATGGGGAGAGGCTAGCTTCGATGGAGAACGAGGTGGGTAGCCCGAGAGGCAGAAGGTGACCGGTGGGATGGCAACCTGCAGGTTGCAGAAGGGGGGGTCATAGTTATTTTTTGGGGGGGTCTTCCAGGTGGATTTCAGAGCTAGAGGGACCAGTTGCCGTCTTAAAGATCTTGGGTAGGTGTCTTACAGTGGTGGGCTTGGAATGGAAGTCCAGGATCGTGACCTGAAGAAAAAGGGCCTCAGAAGGAGGCATTCAAGCGTTTGGAGTTAAATCTTTTTTTTTTCTTTTCGTATTTCTTTCCTGTGGCGCTTTAGAAAGCAATAATGATGGCTGATGCCTGGTACTTGGAAGATTGCAAAAGAAACTCACCAGGAGGAGGAGAGAGGCTAGGTAGGTAAGTTCAGCCGTAGCCTTTAAAAATATTTCACCACCTAGTGAGGTGGCTAGATTTCAGCACAGAAGCTTTAAACAAAACTGATTCCAAGTACTGTAGATGGGATGACTGGGTATTTGGTAATGTATCTGAAAGCATGCCGGAGGCGCTGTGTGGAAGCATCCTGTGTCCAGGGAGTGAAAGTTTAGAGGGTGAGTTGGGATACAGTGGAATGCTTAGTTGGCACAGACTGAGAGCCTGATACCTCTAAATGAGAGGATCTTTATATATATTTTCCTGGAAATATATTCACAACAGAACTGGACATGGGACAGATTGTATTTGTCTTCAGTGTGGAAGGGATGGTCACTCTCGAATTGGCCTTCTCAGCCACACTAGACACTGTTCCAAGTCCTCCATACTGAGCACGTTACCACAGTCTCGAGGCTGAAGGATGCCTAATCACAAAGTCTCTCGAGGCTGAAGGATGCCTAATCACAGTCAAAAATCACATATTCACAACAGAAATAGTTACACGTCAGAATTATTTATGGCCTATCATTTTGCATATATAGTAATTTGTTTCACAATCTTCTTAAGTGTTGCATATAAATAGCGAGGTTAGTGTATCAGGATCTAAATTAACAGATAACAGCTTTTGACTTTTACAACCTGCAAGCAGATATGCAGAGGTTGTTAAAGGCAGCTCCATGAGATGTATGTATTCCAGTGACAACTGAATTTTTCCGAATCAGGTTATCTGGAATGGTTGTTGTGAGGTAATGGTTCTTTATGTGGTACAAGTACTGAAGTCTTTTGTCAAGTTTAGAGAAATATTTTCGGAAAAGGTATATTAAAGTTTATTGGGCTTGTAGTATATATGAAGGAGGGGTTCAAGGGTTATATAGCTTTACAGTCTGCTGAAGTGGAGAAGAGAGGAGACAGGGATCCTGTATATAATCCATAGCAGTGTCATACATGAGGAATCTTGTTAACAACATTTGTTAGGTTGCTATATTTGAATAATTTGCTTGCTATGTTTAGAAGGGGAACATGTTTGCAGTCATGGAGATGCTTCTGTTTGATCTGGTAGAAGATGAATGTTAAACTCTAAGGTATGTTGCGTACAGTGCAATTTATTTATAAGTTAATAGACTTGGAAGTAGACTGTAGATATCCCAGTGAATCACTATGTTTAATGGGCAATTCCTCTTATGTATGTTTTGATTATAGATGATCATTGGATCTAATGTCTTCAACTCTGATTCTCCAGCAATACGTATATGTTAATCTGTATATCTGCTTTAAGCCTCAGGAAACAGCTGCCAACCATGACCCCTTTTCTGCAAAGGGACAACTTTATGTTTCTGTTCCAAATATGCTCATGTGTTTTTCTCAGTACATAATTATATCTACTTGTGTCCTGGCTACTCCAGTATTATTAAGACTGTTATACACAACACTTCTGTCAGATAACATGTCATCTCATTCTTGATTTTTCGTAACATTTAGCCCAAAGATGTGACTGTCTGCCTTGGGGATGAGTTTTTCTCAGCATAACTTTATTTGGCAGTATTGTCAGGCCTTTTGATAAAGCAGATTTTTCTATGTAGTATCCAATAATAATAATCAAAACAACAACAACAACTCGGTAGTTTGCTATGAAAAATTTGCACAGCACTTTGCAGGCAAAATCACTCAGATCCACTCTGACTTGGATGCTGTAGTTAATAGAGGTGCTGTAGATGTAACTATGGCTCCTGCTTGTCCTGTGTTGATGGCTAAGTTTCAGTTTTTGCAGCCTGGTGATGTGGACAAGATACTTGGACCAGTGAAGGCTACCCTTTGTCTGCTAGATCCTTGCCCATCCTGGCTTATAAAAGCTGACACAGAGGGACTGATCTAGTGGGTCCAAGGGATAGTGAATGCCTCCTTGCAGCAGGGTAGGATCCCATCTTGCTTGAAGGAGGGAGTAGTAAGACCATTATTGAAGAAGTCCTCTTTGGGCCCCACATTACTGGATAATTACTGACCAGTCTCTAATATCCCATTCATGGGCAAGGTCTTGGAGTGGGTTTTGGATGAGATGGATTATCTAGATCCATTTCAATCCAGCATCAGGCCTGGTTATGGGACGGAAACTACTTTAGTCACCTTGGTGAATGACTGGGAACTGGACAGAGGGAGTGTGTCCCTGTTGGTTCTGCTGGATCTCTCATTACCTTTCAATACTATCACCTATGGTATCCTTCTGGGTTGTCTCTCTGGGATGGGACAGGGAGCCATTGTTTTACAGTGGCTCCAGTCCTTTCTGGAGGGGAGGACCCAGAGGGTGGGGCTGGGGGACTAATGTTCGGAACCAAGGTGTCCCTCAGGGTTTTGTTTTGTACCCTATGCTATTTAACATCTACATGAAACCACTGGGAAAGGTGGTCCAGAGTTTGGGGGTTCAGTGTCACCAATATGTAGATGATACCCAACTCTCTTTCTCCATTTCATTTAAATCTGAGGAAGCTGTTTTACCTTTAGGTTAGCGCCTGGTGTCAATAATGAACCAGACAATGGCAAATAAACTGAAACTAAATCCAGACAAGGCAGAGATGCTCCTGGTCAGTAAAAGACAAATCAAGGAATAGGGCTGCAGCCTGTGCTGGATGGGGTTACGCTCCCTCTGAAAACACAGGTGCGCAGCTTGGGAGTGCTCCTGTATTTGTCTATAAACATTGATGCCCAGGTTTCAGCAGTGGCCTGGAGTGCCTTTGCACAGTTAAAACTAGTGCGCCAGCTGTGCCCGTTTTTTTTTTGAGAGCTCTGGTTTTGCCATGGTGACACATGCCTTAGTTACATCTCGGTTGGATTACTGTAACACGCTCTATGTGGGGTTGTCTCTGGAAAGTGCTCAGAAACATCAAAGGTCCAAAATGCCACAGACAGATTGTTAACTGGGGCTGGTTACAGGGAACATGCAACACCCCTGTTACAACAGCTCCACTAGCTGCCAATCCATTTCTGGGCACAATTCAAAGCGCTGGTTTAAATCTATAAAGCCTTAAATGGCTGGGGTCCAAGCTACCTAAAAAACTGCATCTCCCTCTGTGAGCCTGCCCATGCATTAAGATCATCAGGGGAGGCCTTTCTCTCGGTCCCATCACCCTCAAAGGTGCATTTGGTGGGGACATGGGAGAGGGCCTTCTCTGTTGCTGCTCCAAGATTTGGAATCTCCCTCCCACAGGAAGCCAGGCTGACTCCATCTTTGCTGTCCTTTTGCAAGCGGAAAGACCTTTCTCTTCAGACAGGCTTTTCCTTAGTGACTAGCAGTCTGAGAGGAGTTGTTTTTATTTAGTATTGTTTTTATTTCCCATTTTTAAGATGATACTTGATTTTTTTAAAATACAGTATTTGCACACTTATTATTTTTAGCTTTGTATATTTTCTTTTTAATAATGTGAGCCGCCATGGGTCCTTTTGAGGGACACAAGGCAGGGTAAAAATATGTTAAATAATATATATAGAAATAAGTAATAATGGTTGTCTATATCCACCTAGGGCTCTAGTAATATGCTAGTGTATTCCATCCCGAGTTTAAAGATATTGGTTAGTGTAAAAAGAAATTTCAACCACTTAGGTTTTCTCATCTTTTCAGCTCACATAGTTATAACGCCATATTCCTTCATCTTTTATCCTTGCAAATCTGTATTTATTCCATTCTAACACTTTCAAATGTCCTGTTTAAGTTAGTCTTAAAATATTTCAATCCATTCTGGAGCTGCCTTAAAAGCCACTGTTATAGTTGCAAAACTTTCATATTTCTTCTGTGCTTCTCCATAAGATGAAATTAGTAAATGTTTTGGAACGCCCTATCCAGTTATAAGCATATCGTTGTGTGAGGCACCACTGTAAATGTTTTGGAATGCCCTATCCAGTTATATCCTACTAAGTTTTCTGCCAGACAGATGTGGTTCCTAATTCTGTCGCATAATTATAGCGGCAAACATTATCTAGTATTGCTAAATACCCATTTCTTGAAAATAACTCTGAGTTTAATTCTTGCTTCCTTCCCGTTTAGGAAGATAGTGGTAATGCCTTTCTTCGTTCCTTTTTCAGAGGAACTATATCACCTTGGTATCATGGTTCAAGGTCACACTGAGGAGTGAGAGGCAATGAGCAGAGAAACAGAAGCAACAGAGCCTGTGGGAGAAGACAAAATGAATGCCCTTTGCCAGGAGCTGTTGTTACCTGGCCCAGCCGTTGTGGGAAGTGAAGACAATCATGGCATCACCAGTGATAACTTAGCAGTGGGACAGAGCTTGCTCTTAACAGAGACTTCAGTGGTAGGAACAGAAACAACTGGTGTTGAAATATTTGTGGAAGCAATGGGTGACACCATGTCTCTGAGCAATCCTGGCAACACAACAGGTACATTGTGCTCGCCCCAAGTCATTGTATCTGTATTTAAAAAAGCCATTCTGTGGTACTCTTAGTGTGAGTACCTTGTGCCCTAAAGTGCTTATATTTGAAATTAGGAACATCTGAAGGCAGCCTTAGGATCTTTGGACCTGGCAGAAAAAGCAGGGAGATTTTGTAAAGAGTAGCCTGGCCTTTTGGCATCTGGTTCTTCTACATTTATTATTTTGGAGCAGAGATGTTGGCCTTATGAAGGTACTGAGACAAGATGGCAAATTTTAATTTCTCAAAATTGCATGTTTGTGTTAAAACAAGGCCCAGACACCTTTCATCGTATTTTAGTAAGAGAATGTATGTTTTTAAAACACTACGTCACTGAGATCTGGTGGGGACTTTCAGCAGCCACGTGTGGCCCTGGGTCATGTATTGCCCAACCCTAATCTGGAAGAATGGTGCACCCTTGGGACTGGGGATTTTAAACTTTTGTTTCTGCCTTTGCCCTGCTTCCAGTCCGAATGTGTGATTCCCCCCCTCCCCCCGCTGTGGAAATATTTGGCTAGAATTCTGGGTTCTTTTTGCATTGGGAGTCTGTTTCATCTCACTTGTTAAACTAGGTACCCCTGTGTTTAAAAGGTAATTTGTCTTCATCTATGTTGTTCTCTTAAGACTCCTGTATGGGTCTGACCTTGGTTATTGTATATGGATGGTACTGACAGAACTTTGGAGAATATATCTACAAGCTAACAAGATTTTAGTTATTTCTGCAATAGATTAGACTCAACACAGAGATGTAGACACATGAAGCTGTTTTGTTCTATTTTCTGAATTGCTTAGCCATTTAAAAATAAAGCTCATCACCTTACTCTTGCAGAAGTCTTGGTTAAAGTTGTGGAATTATACTTCTGTGAACGATGTGGGCAGAGTTTCTCTGATCCCAGCCCGCTTTCCCAGCATCAGTGCACGGAGCCTTCCAGAGGACAACTCACGAGCATCCCTCAGCACGAAGGGTTACCATTGGGCCTTACCAGCCGGGACCTGGCCGTCTCTGGACAGCAAGCAAGCGACCCTCAGACCCCAGCACAGCACTTGCCAGATGGAAGCAGGCAGGACCTGGAATTCATCACTGAGCCCTTTCTGTGCCCCATTTGCCAGGTGGAGTTTTCCCTGCCCAGCAACCTGAAGGAGCACTTTAAAGACCACCAGAAATCCCAGAGTACTCCAGTGTGCCCGGAGGAAAGCTGTACTTTCAGCTCAGGCAATCGCAAGCAGCTCCGGGAGCACTTGCGTCATGTCCACCAGGTCTCTCCCGTCGCCTGTGCCTACCGTGGCTGCCTGGCCTTGTTCCGAAGGAGAGAGGACATGGAGCTGCATCGCAGGAACCACTTCCCGTTCCACTGTGGCCATTGCAACTTCGTCAGTGCCAACACCAAGCAGTTTGGGCAGCACAGGCGCAGCCACCTTCAGCCGGCCACCCAGACAGAGGTGGAAACTGGGCTGGCAACAAAAAAAGGAGCACAGGGTACTGAATTCTGCTTCCATATTTTTGGGGACACAATAGTTGGTGACGATATTCATTTGCACTGCTCACTGAGACAAAATGCACAATGCTGAAGAAATTATGAGGCCCGTGGGACATTTTGGAGAAAAGTAGATCCAGGACTGTGTTCATTTTATGTACATATTCATTTCACGTAAATATTTTTTTGCAACACATGCGTATTTTTGCATGTATTGCAGAAATATGCATGAAGATATAATACCTGATTACAGGAATGTGTACAATAATGCATACAGTGTGGTGCATATAAAATTGTATCTAGAAAACAATTTAGAGGAGGGAAATGAAGTTTTCTAACTGGGCACAAATAAAAGTATGAGATGAGAATGCATTTAGGATTTGGAGAAACAAAAGAAAATCAGACTGACATCTCTGTTCTTAATTCTATTTTGGGTAATACGCAAGGCCTTGAAAGAGTTGTACCCTTAAATGTCATCTAAAAATGCTTTAAAATAAATAACATAAAACTCAGATTCTGTGATACAGTTTGGTTAGACAATAGCTATAGGATGGAGAGCATCCTAACAGCATAAGTACAGTGGTGCCTCGCATAACGATGTTAATTGGTTTCATTAAAAACATCGTTATGTGAAAACATTGTTAAGCGAAACGCCATTTCCCATAGGAATGCATTGAAAACCGGTTAATCCGTTCCAATAGGAGCCTATTCAATTCATTTCAATAGTGAAAAAAAAATCTCCAAAAATTCAAAAAGATTCAGAACGAAGCCAAATTATTTTAACGAAGGTTTTATTAGGTGCACTAACGATTCCAAGCATTTTAAACATTTTTAAACATTTTAGAATAATTTTAAAATAGCGAAAACAGGGCTGTCAAAAAAAAACAACGTTAAGCGAAACAGGGGACCTAAAACTGTCATCGTTAAGTGAAGCAAGGTCCCAAACATCGTTATGCGAAAATCCCCCATAGGAAACATTGTTAGGTGAGGCGGCAAAATTTCCAGCAAAGGAAATTCATCGTTGAGCGAGGCACTCGTTAAGCGAGGCACCACTGTATAAGCCAGCAGGCCTGAACAAGTGTGGTTCGTTGTAAAGGAGGAAAATACTAAAATTGCTAGGTGGTAGAAGATAGTGAATGAAGAACAATGATGATAAATGTTGTTTGAAACTGATGAGAAGATTTAGTAGCACTTGTGCGGGACAAATTCCTTGCTTTCAGGCAACCCATCCTAATTTTTAATTCCTTCTTATCAAACAAGCATCCAATTTCCACACTGTTGAGCTCTAGATATCTTTTCTGGTTCCTTTTTCTAATTTATATTGCCTGATCAACAAGCCTCTCTTAGGATGCTTTCGGATCAAAAGGTACTGTGCACATAGTCTCTATCTTGCCTTCGTACTGGATTTTCCTTAAAGAAGATGGGGGGTGGAAACCAGTGGGAGAACATAGGAGGGTTTGGATCTCTGGTAAAATACGGTGAAAGAGAGGGAGGTGGCTCTGAAACAATGTGTGTCCAGAAGCACTCTCTCTTGCTTGCTTCTTTACCATAGGACCATCCCAAGTCTATCTGTTAAGCCAACTCATCTCCTGGTTTATGCTCCTTTTTCATTTCCAAGGAAGGGCAGAGGTGCTGAATAAGGCAGAAGATAGCCTCAAAGGACAAACTGGTTGGGAAACGACAGAAATGGTGCCTGCAGTGGAAGCACATTCTGATAGCAATTATGTGCCTTCTGAAGACATTGGAGTACTGGCCAAAGAAAACGACTCTGGGAATGGAGGAGATCAGTTATTGAATGAGCAGGAGGAGGAGGAGGAGGAGGAGGAGGAGGGAGAGGAGACCTATGACAAGAAAGCATCTTCTAAGATACTCAAAGGTAGAGTCTTCCATTCATTTGGAAGCAGTATGGTTTGAACATAGCTCTTCTAAGCTTCCAGGAATATGCTGACGTTTTGCAGTGTGCCCTGAAAGTAATTTTTTTCTTTGCTTACATGCCAGATTCAAAGTGTTAACATTGACTTGCAAAGCCCTTAATGGTTTGGGACCTGTCAGAACATCTTTCCTTGAGATCTTCTACATGTGCCTCTCGTTCTTCCCAGGCTTTGTTGCTTCAGGCGTCCAGCCTGAAGGAGGCCCAAAAACAACAATTTGGAACTGGCCATTCTTGGTGGTGGTTACGATGCTTTCGAACACTTTGCCTGTGGACATATGCCAAGCTTGCTCCCTCCTTGCCTTTAAAAAGCTTGTTCTACTCAGCTCTTTAAAGAGAATATCCTCTCCCTGCAGGATTATCCTCTGGGATAGGAGACTGGATAAATATATCTGTGGTGTATCTCTGAGGGTCCACTGTGTTGATTCTTTTGGACTGAACTGCTTGTTTTCTTGTTGCAGGAGACGTCGCTGGGGACTCTAAATGTTTATTCAAGACCCACATGTGTCCAGAGTGCAAGCGTTGCTTCAAGAAGCGGACTCACCTGGTAGAACACCTTCACCTCCATTTCCCTGACCCAAGGCTGCAGTGCCCAAACTGCCAGAAGTTCTTCACGAGTAAGAGCAAGCTGAAGATCCACATGATGCGCGAGACTGGCGAGAAGGCCCATCGCTGCCCACTGTGCCACTACAGTTCTGTTGAGAAGAATGCCCTTAACAGGCACATGGCCAGCATGCATGAGGACATCTCCAACTTCTATTCGGATGTTTACTCCTGCCCAGTGTGTAAGGAGACGTTTAAGCTAAGCCACGCTCTCAAGGAGCACCTGAAGACCCACAAGGCAGAGCCCAAGCCCCTGAGCTGCTTCCAGGCGGGTTGCAGCTACTGCACTGAGGACCGCAAGGAGTTTCTACGCCACGTCAGGGAGGCCCATGGCATGAAAGCCGTCGAGTGCAAGTACTACGCCTGCTCCCTGCTCTTCCCCACTGCCGAGGTGATGGAGGCGCATCGGAAAACACACTATGCCTTCCACTGCCAGCAGTGTGATTTTATTTGTTCCAACAAGCACACCTTCCGCAAGCATAAGAAGCAAGGGCACCCTGGGAGCGAACAGCTCCAGTGCAGCTTTTGCCCCTTTGCCACGTTCAACTCAGTGGAGTTCCATGACCATGTGGGCAAGATGCATGCCAGCGAAAAGATACACAAGTGCGCAGAATGCAACTTTGCCACGGCACACAAGAGGGTCCTCATTCGCCACATGCTGCTCCACACAGGCAAGTGCTCTTCCCAGCTTCACAATCTTTTGAGCGGCTCTTGCTCATGTGTGCTTGTTTGCTTCGGGTCTTTCTTTTCTGCGCTCCAGTTCTGCTGTGAAAAGTCAGTCTGTGGCCCTGGGCAGAGAATTGCAGTTGCCAGTTTATGACGTTTATGTTTCCTTCCCTGCGAACTTGATGGAACATAATAGCGGGTTTCCTTTCCACTACAACATTGCCCAAGGTCGTTCACTTTGTTTCTGTACTGTTTTCCTGTATTTTAACAGAGGTATCTTTTGTGAGACAAAAGGCTTAAAAACTAGAAATAATTTGACTGCTCAGAGGTCAAGATTTTATCTCTTGTCATGCTGAAGCAAAACTAAGGCTGCTTTAGCCTGCATACAAATACTGTTCCCACCGAAGAAGATGTCCCACAAACTTTTCCAGTACCATCTCAGCTTCTGTGAAATCTAGATTTTGACCTGGACTCGGAAGGAACTAACAAATGTTAGGCAGAGTTTTCGTTTAGACTTAGACTAGTTGATCTAGATGGCAATCTGGGGTCTAATGTAGCTGCCAGTCCTCCAGCCATCTTCTTGTTGGAAAAGTCTAGCCAGGATGAGATAGGAAAATGCCTGCTTGGGAACCATTGTATGAAAGTGCTTCAAGCACTATCATGCAGTGGCATCTAGGCAAGTGCCCTGTCCTATTGGCCTTTTTCTCTTGAAAAGGAAGCATGCCAGCTAGGGCCAGGGGAGGACAGGCTGGCAGGGAGATGTACACTTTCTGGTTTGGTCTTCCAGGGTGAAGCCTAATCGGCACCTTAGTCACATAGATGCCAAATTATCTCCAGTCTTGTTCGAAGGATTGGAGCTGGGAATGAGTGAGGATCTGCTAGGATGATCTGTGCTGTTACTAGAGGGCAAAGTGACCCCTGCACAGTGAGCATAATTGTGGAAGCCTGGCTATTCATGACATGACATGGCAGGATATTTTCCAGTACTGTAGTATGTTATGCAAAGCACTGCTTCTACCTGTGTTGTTCTGGAGGGCTGAGAAGGGCCCCGTTTTATATTTACTTTACTGACTTGAAGGGCATGACGGATGGGGATGTTGACCCACAGCTTCCATTTTGCTCTGTGACTTTAGGAGAAAAGCCTCACAAGTGCCAGCTGTGCAACTTCACTTGCCGAGACGTGAGCTATCTTTCCAAACATATGCTGACCCACTCGGATGATAAGAACTACATGTGCACGGAATGTGGCTATGTGACCAAGTGGAAGCACTACCTGAACGTCCACATGCGGAAGCACACGGGGGATCTCAGGTACAGGCGGTTGTCTTCTGCCCCTCAGGCTTCTGGTCTGCCTCCAAGCTAAGGACCCTCTGGGGTGGTACTTTATGGCTCTGTCACATCAAGTCTCTGTGTGGAAATGGGGCAATGAACAGGGCTGCTGACAAAACGTATTGTCCTTTAACCATCTGTGGATAGATCTGAGGACTGAGCAGGAGAGTTAATTGAGATGATCCATTACATGAATCAAATGTAATAGTTCTGAGCTCCATGTGTGACACTGCTAATCTTCGGGTAAACTTGGCTAACATAAAACCACCGAGGCCTGAATTTTTAAAATCAGCATAGTGGTAGTTGTATCGAGGCAGAAATGTGATACTCTGGCACTTCACAGGCACTTGTGGTTCAACCCGGTTTTCTTAATTTTTCCAAGACATAATTAATGACATAATTTTTCTATGACCAACTTATCTGAAAGCACTGCCCTTTTAGTCCTGTCTGACAGATGATATGAAGTAGTTATTTGAGGCCCAAGGTTGGAGACCGCTGCTTTAGATAGTCCTGTCTGATAGATGATATGAAGTAGTTATTGGTTTTGATTTGTGGGGCATAGCATCAAGCATAGCACTTATAGAGCCCACAAGCACATGTTATAGTTATGAGGTTTAGACTTGGAGAAATCTATATTCAAATCACAGCTCAACTAAAGTTTTGGGGTGGTCCTGAGTCCCAAAATTCTCTATTCTGGGAATTTGACCTAACAAATAGACTACAGTATTTTGTTGTTATTACATGACAATAGTCTCCTCTGCCTTATGGTAATGTTATGAATGAGTATCCCCAAGATGTCCTCTCCTCGATAGCCCTGCTCAACTCTGTGACTTCCCTTAGGGAGTCAATCCATCTCACATTTGGTCTTCCTCTTTTCCTGCTATCCTCATCCTTTCCCAGCATTGTTGCCTTTTCCGGAGAATCTTGCCTTCTCGTGATGTGCCCAAAGTAGGACAGCCTCATTTCCATCACTTTTCCCTCCAGAGATCAGAGTTCAGGCTTGACTTACTCTAAGACCCACTGGTTCATTTGCAAGGTACTCCTCCAGCACTATGCTTCAAATCAAGTTTTTTCCTGTCCTGTTTGAATCTGAAAGTGCCTTTTAGAGAAGAACCCACCACTGCTTCTTTATCTAACAAAATGAAATTGAAACAGTGAAAGATCTTGTACATCTTGGTTCAATCATCAATCAAATGGAGACTGCAGACAAGAAATCAGAAGACGACTGAGACTTGAAAGGGCAGCAATGAAGGAATTAGGGTTGGACAGTTAAAAAAGAGAGTAAAAAGTTATTTTAAAAAAATAAATACAGAAAAATACATTTGTACTGGTTAATGCCAAGCATGTAAGTATTAAGTAAGCTCCTGTAAGACTTCCCCATTAAATAATAAAATGATTAACTAGCTAATAGTTTTACTAGTTAATGACTAGGCTATTCTTAAGTCACCATGGCTAAAATCTCCAAATCAATCAATGAAGCCTTTAAACTTGTCGTCCATATTCTCTCCTCCAACTTACACACCCACACCCACCCCCTCTTCTCTCCTCCAACTTACACACACACACCCCTACTTAACCCCCTTTCTATAACTTAAAACAAAGTCTCTCCTTTGTGATGGCATCCAATCAGCATACAGTCCTTTGTTCGCAAGTCCACATGGAACTTTCCACAGCTCTTGTCTCTGATTCCCAGGTTGGTAGGCCATTAGTCAGGAATGTTATGTTTATCGGTCTTGAGATGTGGCCTTGGTTCTTCTTCCACAACAACAGCTAGGTCTCTGGCCAAGACAAAATACCTGCAAGTCTTGGGAAACAAGTACTACAAACCCCATATCCTCACAAGCACTGTCTCTTGTTTCATTTCGGACAGTTTTCATCTTGAGGTTTTTATGGTAAAGAAAGTTCATCAGGGGCTTACCATTGCCACCATCTCTGCAGTACTAACAAATGTTAGTTTCAGTGTTGTTGCCATTAGAGACACATAAATGTGGGTTACCTGGGAAAAAGACTTCAACTGTAAGGTTCTGGGGTGAGTCAAGCCTAATTCTGCCTAGCATTGTTCAGAAAGAAAGCTCTTGGCTAACACCGGGACAGGGACAGGAAAATTAAGGCCTTTCTTCCAGGTGTTCCACATCTGTCTGTCAGGTAGAATTCCCAGAATGGAGAATTATGGGATTTGTAATCCAAGAAATGTAAAAAAACTCCCACACTTCATCCTGAGGAAGGGGCTGGGGGTGCCTCATTTCTCCCAGTTTATAAACTGGGATATGACAATTATTTTCACAAAGGTGTTGGGTGGTGGTAATAAAGTGGTCATTTTGCTTAAATTGCTATGTAAAGCTGTCCCAAGATGACATTTTCCTCTAATGTGACGGGCTGTTGCTCTTCTGCTAGGTACCAATGCAATCAGTGCCCGTATCGCTGCCATCGGGCTGACCAGCTGAGCAGCCACAAGCTGCGCCACCAAGGCAAGTCCTTGATCTGTGAAGTGTGTGGCTTTGCATGCAAACGCAAGTATGAGCTGCAGAAGCACATGCAAGCAAAGCATTCTCAGGACTATCAGATGCCCATCTTCCAGTGCCAGTACTGTAGCTACCAGACTAAATACAAACAAGCCTTGTTCAACCATGAGAACTGCAAGCACACCAAGCAGAGGGAGTTCCGCTGTGCCCTGTGCTCTTACCATACATTCAGCAATACGAGCCTCTTTTTCCACAAGCGTAAGGTCCATGGCTACGTTCCTGGTGACAAGGGCTGGCAGGAGAACTATGCCAACCGGGAGTTGGAGGCCACTTCCTCTGGAGTGCTGCTGAGCTACAATCTGGCCATGACTCTCCATTCAGAGCCCAACTCTTCCCTGCCAGGGAAGGAGACGTGGCGTGAGAAAGCCAAACCCCTTGCTTCAGAGGCCCAGGAGGAGGAAGGCTGCCACATTATGCCTCTCTTTGGGAATGAAAATGCTGCAGAGAAGCAAAAGGAAGGTATGGTGAGAGGACAAGATCAGTACATGGTTCATGGGACTCCTTCAGAGGAGCTATCTCTGAAAGTAGCTTCCGTGAGCTCTGAAGAACCAGAAGGTGGTGGTGGGCCAGTTCCAACTTGCACTCTGCACTTGGCGCCCTTGTGCAACTCAGATCCAGTTCTGGAGCAGCTGACTGAGGAGATTCCTGCAGCTCTGCCAGAGACTGACGGGTCTCTGAACTGCAGGGAAATGGGCTCTGCCTATGAAGTGTTAGACTCCAGAGATGCTCTTGCCCTGGACTGTAGTGAGCCTGCCCTTGAAGATGTCCCTGACTTCGAGGAGGAGGCAGAAGTTCCTGGAGATGGAGAGTTGGAGCTGGAGAAAGATATTGGTTCCAGCACTGGTGACAGTAACGAAAAGAGTGCTCTGCAGGATCTGAGGGGCACCAAGGTTGATGGGCAGAACACAGAATGCTTGGAAGTGCCACCTAGCCCTAAGCAGAGAGTGGCATGCAAAGAGCCAAGGACACAGGAGGCTTTATCTAATGGCTTGAAGCAGGAGTCTCTCCCACCTGAACCTAACCAGGAGATCCCCCTTACTCCAGAAGGTGCACTTTTCTCCTCAGAAGAAGATTCTCAGTCAGAATCTGTCCTTAGAGCCCTAAGGAAACAGGACAAGGAGCAGGCAGAGACCCTGGTCCTGGAGGGGAGGGTGCAGATGTTGGTGGTTCAGTCCAAGAATCGGGTCTTCAAGTGTGAGAAATGTTCTTACATCACCAGGAAGGAGAAGTCCATGTTGGTGCACTGCAAAGTGGGCTGCCAGAGCAAGAAATGCCCTTTAGTCTGCCAGGAGTGTGGGGCCATCTTCAAGCAGCAGAGAGGATTGAATACTCATCTCCTGAAGAAGTGTCCAGTCCTCATGAAGAAGAACCCTGAAAAAACAGCCTGCTTAGACCAGGCGGTGGTGGCAGCGGCGGTTGCCCTTGAGGACCCTAGTGGCAAAAGTCTAGGAACAACTGAGCTAGATAAGAATGGCGTAGGAGCACTACATGAGGGAGACTTGAGCACGCTGAGAGAGACTTCCTGGGGGGTAGGATGGAGGCCAGGTAATGCTGAACCTGTGACCACTCTGCTTCCGGACCATCAGTCTGTAGCCATTGACCTGCATGACAAGCCATCTCATGGTGTCCCTGAAACCATGATGGAAGAGCTGTTGCTCCCTGCAAAGGGAGAGGCTGCCAGCTACCACTCAGAGCGATACTACCTGGAGCAGGGGAAGTTCCACTGTAAATCCTGCTCCTTTCTCTGTTCACGAGTGTCCACCATCCTTTCCCACGTGGAGGATGTCTGCCGTGGCTTGGAGCCATTCTGCTGTCCCTTGTGCTCAAAGACCTTCCGCTCCAAGAGGGCCCTCAAGATCCACCAGGCAGAAGGGCATGTGGAAGCTCACCCCACTTGCTTGCGTGAAGGATCCTGTGCCCCCTCGCCCGGGGCAGAAGAAGAGGAACGAGGGGATGAGCCAGTCAGTCAAGAGGACGCGAGCCACCCTGATGAACAAGCAGAGGCGACGCCTCCCCCTCCGATCACTCTGCGCAAGAGGCGGCACTTCTCCTGCCCCACCTGCCCTTTTACATGCCACCAGGAACGGGCCCTGAAAACTCACAAGAAGCGAGGCTGCTTGAAACTGGGCGAGTTTCGCTGCACCCTCTGCTCCTTCACCTCCAAAGCTGCTGCTGCTCTGCGGCTCCACCGCAAGCTTCACCGGAAGTACTATAATACGCGACCTCAGCTGGCCTGTTGCCAGTGTGACTTCACTTGCAAACAGGTGCGCTGCCTGCGCCAACATGTCCGCATCAAACATGAAGGCGTGAAGCCCCACAAGTGCCCTTTCTGTGATTTCAGCACCACCCGACGCTATCGCCTGGAGGCCCACCAGTCTTTGCACACCGGTGTGGGCCGCATTGCTTGTCCCACCTGCGGCCAGACCTTTGGCACAAACTCCAAGCTGCGCATTCACCGCTTGCGTGTCCACGAGAAGAAGCCCACCCATTTCTGCCCGCTGTGTGACTACAGCGGCTACATTCAGAATGACATAACTCGCCATGTCAACAGCTGCCACCAGGGGGACCTGAACTTTGCCTGTGCCCACTGCGAAGCCCGCTTCAGCTCAGAAACAGCCCTCAAGCAGCATGTGCTGCGGCAGCATGAGGAGAAGGTCTCCTATGGCTGCTCTCACTGTGCCTTTGTCTGCCACAGTGAGGCTACCCTCAAATGCCATGCCCAGAAGCAGCATCCTCATCTGGAGTGTGCCACCTGTAAAGAAACCTTGACCACCCGCGAGGAGCTGGAGGAGCATAAGAAGTTACACTTCAGCCATCGCTGTGACATCTGCAGCTTTGCAGCTAAGGAGCGGCAGCAGCTCGTGAGCCACTACTTAGAGGCTCACGAGCCCTCTGGGACCGAGGAAAGGCCCTTCAGGTGCTCCTTTTGTGATTTTGGATGCCACCACCAGCTGGTGTTTGACCACCACATGAAGGGCCATGGTGGCACCCGCGTCTACAAGTGCTCAGATTGTGATTACACCACCAAGAACAAGCAAAAGATCACATGGCATATACGCATCCATACTGGGGAGAAACCTTACAAGTGCCACCAATGCCAATATGCCTGTGCTGACCCTTCCCGTCTCAAGGTGAGAACCTTTTACTGCTTTCTTTATGGGTTGGAAGTAAAATACGTGTGCTAGAGAGGACATCAGAAAGCTCTGCCCAGACAAACGGTCTTCACCCTTTGAAATACCAGGCATTGTCACCAGCAGAATTTGTAGAAGAGATACACTCAGGTCATGTATTCTCTGGAGATCTATCTGCGTTTCAAAGGATTACTTCCTGCTAAGTCAAACTGTCTGGCAGAAATGCCTTTTGCACATGGTGTCCAGTTGTGATCTGAAAGTGGCTTTTGGAGAAGAACCCACCACTGCTTCTTTATCTAACAAATTCCTGGTGAACTAACCCTCTATTACTACATCCATTTACCTAATAGCAGATTTTATCTCTGTGGGCTGAAAGCCCTGGCTGATGAAAGCTGCCTCCTATCACCCAGGAGGTTGCTTTCATGGTTCAAGACTTGGTTAATAGGGATTGTTTTCCTTTTGGGAGGGGGGGGCTATGGTTTTAACTTCCAGGTAATCTGATCTTGTTCTGACTTCCATTGGGATTGAATTGCCTCTTGAAAAGGTAGGGTTTCTCAAAGTGAAACCTGGTACCATCTCCTCGCTGCAGTAGCAGCCCATCATGAATGCCTTGTTGCTTTCTCTATTTCAGCCAAACAGAGAGAGACTAGTTACAGCTTGTGATTTCTGATTTCCTGCTCTCTTGACATCTTGCAACTCTCCTTCGCACCAGCCAGTCTTGCCCATTCCTTGCTACCTTTTCAAAGGAAGACTAAAGCAATTGCTGTATCACTCTGTGCCTGAGAGCAAATGTTATAACGTCAGTCCTGACCTAACAAAGCTAAGAGATGCCCTGAGTGCTTTATGTCCATCTGGACTTTCTGAATATCTTGCTATCTATATGGAAGTTACTTTTCAGTCCTCATGCAAGAAAAGTAATATCCCTATTAGCTGCTAGCAGATGATTAACAGTCAATGAGATGAATGGGTGGTATAACTGTTCAGAGCCCTTGATTCCTAAAGCTTGGATCAAATTTATGATACTCAGTAAAAAAAAAATAGTAAAACCATTTGTGAGGTTTGCATCTAGTATGCCACCCTGACTTATCTTTTTTCTGTTTCTCTGCCCAGTATCACATGCGCATCCACAAAGAGGAGAGGAAGTACCTTTGTCCAGAATGTGGCTATAAGTGCAAGTGGGTGAATCAGCTGAAGTACCACATGACGAAACATACAGGTATGTGTTTTGGGAGAATATAAAGGGTTGGGCACTCTGGGGCCAAAATGGTAGTTTCTGGTTCTCTTGTGTGGTACGGACTTGCAGAACCATTCTCCTTTTCGCAGATATGTGCTTTTCAGCAGAGTAGTCTGAAAACACTTGTGATACAACAGCGGAAAAGGTGTCCTAGTTCCTGCATTTTGGGGAAATAAAAATGCACTCAATGACACTGGGGGATTGTCTCTGCCGGATGCTGTGTGCTTTTTAAAAGCTTGTTTTATGGGCAGAGGGCAGAGGATAGTTCAGTGGTTTAGGAATCTGGTTGTGGATCTGGAGGTTGGGCGTTTGTACCTGCTTGACAAGGACTGGACTTGATGAGCCATACTGTCCCCTCCAGCAAAGCTGTTCTAAGGTGATGATGGACCCATGTACAAAGATCCAGCATAGAAGGGGGACGGAACTTGGAGCAGCAATGTTGTCAAGCTTGGGGAAGAGAAAATACTTTGGAAACACCTTGGTTTTGATGTTGTAGCAGTATCCACGTTACCTCTGTTCCTAACATGTTCTGTCTTTTGCACACAGGGATCAAGCCCTATCAGTGCGATGAGTGTAGCTATTGTACTAACCGTGCTGATGCCTTGCGCATCCACAAAGAGACGCGCCACCGGGAGGCCCGGTCCTTCATCTGCGAACAGTGCGGGAAAGCCTTTAAGACCCGCTTCCTCCTCAAGACACATCTCAAGAAGCACAGTGAGGATAAGCCATATGTCTGTAACGTGTGCTACCGGGGTTTCAGATGGGCTGCCGGCTTACGACATCACTATCTCATTCATACCAATGAACACCCGTTCTTCTGCCGATACTGTAATTATAAGGCCAAACAGAAGTTCCAAGTGATCAAACATTTGCAGAGGCACCACCCGGATCAGGGGGACCTTAGCAAAGGGGTGGGAAAGGACCCTAGCACTCTGACTTTCCATCTGCATGATGTCCAGCTTGAGACAGCCCCCTCCAAGCAACCAGAGGAAGGGGACGGTCAGGCATCTCCGCATGGCTAACTCAGCTCCCCACCCCTGGACTTACAAGTTAAGGTTACTTGGCTGTAGTTTGCATAAGCCAGTGGTGAAGTCTGCCCTTGTCATCTTGTGGACACCCTGTCCAAGCTGCTTGAAGCTCCCCAGGGAAAATGGAGGCCCTACTATGTCAACTCAAGTGTATGTACTTTTCTGTGTTTATAGTCATATCTGTATATGGGTTGTAAAATATGCATCTTTATAAAAAGGATCTTCAGACTTGTTTGTTATTTTGTTGACACTGGATTCTTTAGCTTACTGTGCAAACCAAAAATAGAGAAATGGCAGATTGTAAAACCTGCATGCGAGGTAGGCAGGGTGAACTGATTGTGGCTTCTGTGTAAGAATCTTGTTGCTAAAGCAGCTGAGCGTAAATGCCTTTATTTCCTGGACCATGCATCTGGCATATTTGTACAATTAGAAACTGTCCGCATAATGATCATTTTATCCAAGGAAGTATATGCTTGGCTTTGTGTGCCCAGAATGAGTTTTCTTAACCATTAGTCTTCTGTCAGAGAAGGAGTTGCAAGAGAAGCAGCTCCTTTTTACTTCCACCTCCCCCAGCGGCTTGTGTTACTGTGAGAGGCTCAGGTGATTGAAAGACATTATATTTCTCCTCTGAGGAACGACAGCGTTGGCACCGAAGGTCTTGTATTTAAGTGACTGATGCACTGGAAAGCAATAGTCTGCCCAGAGGAGAGCAGAACTTGTCCCTCCCTTCCACCATTCCAGGAAGCGCTGAGAAACATATCAGTATTTCCAGCTTTGAAGACATCCTTTTCCCCCCAGCTCAACAATGATTGAAATATTTGATAAACCCTCTTGGTGGGCAGCAGCTTTTCTCTGCCTTGGCAGGCCTAGGACAAGCTGGAGATTACAGCTGCCCTTCATTGTACTACAGACTTCTCTGGGAAGCTTTAGTCTTCTAAACTAAGCCTTCTGTTTCAGGTTCAAACACTTCCATTCCTGAATGTTGTTAAGGTTCCCCAGCTCAGGGAGGCCTACACTAATCACTCAGCCACACTGCCCTGATTGCCCTGGTGTGGGTGAAGTCCAAGAAGGCCAAATGTGCTGATGGCTGGGGGAATGTTTCTGCTCAGCACCTCCCGAGGCCTTAATCTCATCCCAAGGACCATTCACACCTAATTGTACCCTTTTGTAGAAAAGTCTGAAGGTCTAATGAAGTCACAGAAAGCTAAGAAGTCATAAACTGTATAGTTGAAAAATGGCATGCTGTGTCTTTTTAAATGCCTTCCTTCTGTTTACTAAAGCTAGTATTCATAGGCCTATGCCTTGATTATGCACTTGCCTGTCCTGTATTTTCCTGAAAACAGTCTTTTTGAAGGGGACTGTTCACTCTAAGAACCTCCTTACTCTCTCAGGGCTTTTGTACTCTTGCTAGTCTGAGGTGCTGCAAGAGCAAAGTGCCATATACAGAGGAGGGAACTGCTGCTGTGCATTATTTATACAGTATCCTGGTTTCTTCCAGTTTGCTCAGAACACTGTATGCCTTCTCTGTGTAGCAATCACTCTGAGACAGGTTGGGCTGAGACCTGGAGTCATCCCGTGAGTTTCATACCTCAGTTGGGGCTAGAACCATGATTTCTGTGATCCTGGTCTGACAACTTCACAACCTAGGCTGTCTCAATGGCTGTTGTGAACTAAATGTCTGTGCTTCAGTTAGGTCAGGATGTATGTGCTTATCAATTTTTGAATCTTTGCAGGTAAATTATGACAACATTTGTAGAAAACTTTCACACTTGTGCTTATGGCTCAGAATAGATGTCTTCTGATCACATGCAAACAATTTGGAGGCAAAAGATTGCTGAGCTAAAATCCAAGGTTTACATCTCCTGTACATAGTATTTCTCTGTCCCTTCATATGTGTTACCCTCAAATTTTCCTTTGTTTGGCTCTTTATTCTCAGCCTTTAATCAGCAAAATTATGCAACCCAAACAAGCCACACCTATGAACATTGGCATAGCTCCATACCCTCCTGGAGGAAACTGATGCCCTTGATCGGTTCCAGTGGGGCTTCAGGCCACAGCATGGTATAGAAACGGCATTGGTTGCCCTGCAGGATAACAACCTGAGGGAGGCCAACAGGGACAATATGTCCTTGTTGGTCGTCCTCAATATCTCAGCGGCCTTTGATACCATCAACCACGGCAACGGCATCCACTGGGGACCATTCTGGGGTGGATGAGAGCAAACAGACTTAGGATGAATTCGGACAAGATGGAAATCTTGCACGTGGGTGGCCCCAGCATCAGCGGGCTGGGAAACTCCATCTCCTTTGGGGGAGTGACTCTCCCCACGAAGAGTGAGATTCGCAGCTTGGGCATCTGCTTGGACCCGGATCTCACCATGGAAACCCAGGTGGCATCTGTGGTGCGGGCTGCTCCATCTCTGGAGGATTGCCCAGCTGCATGCCTATCTAGACGTGGCAGCACTCACAATGCTGATTCATGACCTCGTAATCTCAAGAATAGACTACTACAGTGCTCTCTATGTGGGGCTGCCCTTGGGGCTGATGCGGAGACTTCAACTGGTCCATAATTCAGCGACCAGATTAATAAGTGGGGTGAAGAAATTTCAACGCATCTCCCCCGCTCTGGCCGCCCTTCATTGGCTACCGGTTCGTTTCTGCATCGACTTCAAGGTTCTGAGGATAACATTTAAAGCCCTAAACGGTTTAGGACCTCGGTACCTATCAGAACACCTGCTCCTAGCCAGATCTGTCCATAATACCTGTTCCTCGCAGGCAAGGCGGTTGAGGGCCTTGACCCCGGAGGGAAAAAATTAGAAACCAGGCCTTCTTGGTGGTTGCCCCCATCTATGGAACAACCTGCCGATTGAGATTCGTCTGGCATTCTCGCTAAAGCCCTAAACGGTTTAGGACCTCGGTACCTATCAGAACACCTGCTCCTAGCCAGATCTGTCCATAATACCTGTTCCTCGCAGGCAAGGCGGTTGAGGGCCTTGACCCCGGAGGGAAAAAATTAGAAACCAGGCCTTCTTGGTGGTTGCCCCCATCTATGGAACAACCTGCCGACTGAGATTCGTCTGGCACTCTCGCTGGACAGATTTAAAACAGCATTGAAGACCTGCCTCTTCTTCCAGGCTTTCACGGAGCATTAGGATCCTGCTCTCCCTTTTTACCATTCTTTTTTGCTATCCTCTCCTTCACCCTTTCCACCACCTGCCATCTGTTTTAATTTCTGATTTGCTATGTTATTAACTTATTTTAATCATGTTTTTAAGTTTTTTTTCTCCTTATATGGTTGTTAGCTGCCCAGAGTGGCCTGGTTGCCAGATGGTGCGGGATATAAATTTAAATAATAAATAAATAGCCCAAAAGCAGTTATTTATCTTCTCCGTCAATAAAACATGCACTTTTTCTGCTGTGAAATCTTAGCCCTTCCTCATTTAGCTTCCTCTTGATTCTCTCATCCATACTGAGCCCATTGTCTGATTTGTTCATTTCTGTGCTATGTGACATCATAGGTCATATAGTAAAGTACTTCCATGTAATATATGAGGTATTACACTGTATTGTTTCATTCGTGCTTCTAAAAACGGTATAGATGTTCGCACTAAAATTTCAATCCCAATCACCTTTACTTGAATATAGCTCCCATTTAACTCAGTAATGGAGAAGTTTGTACTTTCGGGCCATAATCCTGCACATGCTTATCTGTGTGTTCTGTGTCACCAAGATGGAACCACCCTAATAGGGTTTTCCAGATAAGTGAGATATTTAAAGAGTGGCTTTGCACATCCCCAGTCAAGTCTCCCATGGCTGAGCAGGGATTCAAAGCCTGTTAATATATTTTCCCCTTCCCATGAATGTGAAGGGCTGCAGGGCTAAGTACCAGTGGTTTTGGTGGAGGTTGGTGTCTCTCTCTGCCAGCCACTGGAGGGGGGGCATGATCAGTAACCAGGGTCAAGGGGACTTCCTAGGAGGGACTACCAAAGGGCATGGATGGTCCAACGGATAGTCAAGGCTTTGCATATTTCTGCTTTCAGAAAAGAGCTTCCAGCTAGAATGGGATGGGCCACTCTAGGGCTGGGGCAGCCCCTAACGCTCTTTTGGAAGCATCTGTGTGCAACAAGAAATGTTGGGGAAAGTCCAGGACCCGGCACAGGGCCTCCTTCACACCTGCAAAGGCTTTCTTCTTTACGGCGGCCTCATCAGATTGCCCTGAGACCCCGTTTCTGGGTCAGGTCAGTTAGGGCAGAGGTCCCCAACCCTGGCCCGCAGCCTGGTGCCAGTCCATGGCCTGAACTGGACTGGGCTGCAAAGACAGACCTTCCCCCACCCTCTCACGCACTCCCCCCTCACACAGCCCCTTTGCAACTGCACACACCTGCATCCATGCAAGTGCTCCCCCAACCTTTTACGCATGTGCACAAATGCCCTTGTGCACCATGCCATCCTTTGTGCATGTGCATAAGCGCCCTCCCGCTCCTTCGTGCATGCACATGAACACACGCACGCCCACACAAGCAGCGTCCCGCTTCTTTGTGCATGCGCACAAGCGCGCCAAGGGGTGCCCTGCCTTCCCCAGCCAGTCCGCAGGGTTAAAAAGGTTGGGAACCTACTGAGTTAGGGAATAGCAAGGGAGGTGAAATTGGGAATAAACTGACGGTGGTAGCCTGCCGTACCAAGAAACTGCTGGACCTGCTTCTAAATCTGGGGTAGGGTTCATCAGGACACCTTGTCTACCTTACATGGGTCTGACTTCTCTGCTCCCCATTAAGAACCCTAAATATTCACCTTCATCTTGGCAACCCTACACTTAGCAGGATTGGCCATGAGTCCCTCCTGGTGAAGTTCTCTCTAAACCCATGGGAGATACTGCAAGTGAGGGGATGAAAGTAATATTGTTGACATATGTGGTCACTAAATCAAGGTCCCATGGAGCTGTAAAGGCATAGGTGTGAAATGGGACAGGTTCCTGAGGGTGGCAAAGCCCTTTTCCCCTGAGTCCTCTCTCCTTTGTGGAATCTGCCACTATCCTTTGGTTTGCTTGAAAGAGGCCAGGTACCAGAATTCTCCTGCCAGTCCAACAATTCATCTCAGGGCCTAAGATAGGCATCAGATTCTGACAGTGCATTAAGGTGTAGAAAATCAGTGCAAAACCAGGTAATGCTGTTTGGCTTAGGCACAAGCACCAGCTGTTTTCTCCACAGGCTCCTTGAAGGCTCTATGATCCCAAGGTGTTACATACTGTCCACCTCATCCTCCATTGCTTTTCATAGCTGCTGGTGCCAGGGTCTCACAGTACACACACACACACACACCGGAGTTAGTCTCAGGGCTGTGCTCTAAGAGGTTGGTCCTCACAGAGTTGATGGTCAAGACGGTTAAGAATTCCTCCTCGAGGGCCTGCTCTCGAGCCACCTAATTGAGCCTGAGGTACTCCCCGAACAACAGCCCTGCCTCTTTCCCTTGTTTCACTAATAGAGCCTCCAGCCTCAGGGCTGCATCCTCAACACCCCCAAACAGACCTCCCAAGTTAAAGCAGGAACCACACCCACCTGGTCTTACCAAAAGTTGGGATGTCCATATAAGGGGATACTATCACTTACTTCAACCTCATCCTTTGATTCCTTTCCTGTCTGATAAGTAATATAATTACAGAATGACTGATAGACACCCCCTTCTCTATCTTGGCAGAAGTTTAGAACATCCTTTTATTTTCACCTGGATACATGGGGCTGCTGCCCCTTACAAAGGAGGCAGTACATATTTGGAATATAATGGCTTTCCATGCAATGCTGTATATATTGCACCTGTAAAAGAGAACCTGAGTTAAAGAAAGAGGGTTGGACAGAACAGGGGGGACTTAACAAACAAAGAAAAGGGATACACCCACGGTGCATGTTGTAACCCAGCAAGGACGTTCTGGGGTGATGCTGCCATATGCCTCATGACCACAGCGGTTTCTCCTATTTAGCTATATCTTGAGATATTCAGTGTACTAGCCAGGGGTCTTCAACTGAGATCAATTTAAGATTGAGTCAACTTTTACACTATTATTGCTCCTGTGTTTGCCTTTGCTACCTTTGTTACAGTAAATGTTAAATCCTTCAGAAATGCCTGCCAGTAACCAGCCACAGCCCTCTGCCTCCTATGTGGAAGGTTAGCATGTCCCATTTCTAATTATTACAGCTTTAAACCACTGTAGGAAGAGCCTAAAAGCACAAGAGATCAGCCTTTGCAATATCAAGAATAAATGGCCACATCCTGGCTTCAAGCGACAGGACAGGCCTCGAGCAGATTAAACCTCTTGATGGGCAGTTAATACAACTGTTTTTTAAAAAGGGATTTCAACTGAGACTTTATAAAATGGCAGAATGTTCCTACCAGGAAGAATTCTTCCGGAGAAACCCCTTTATAATTGTTCATGTTGCATTCTTCATGAAAAAGAAACTATCATCTGTGTCTTAACTCCTCCTCCTTGGAATTAGTGTAAGAAGCTGATTCAGATCTAGCCCACATCTTTTAAGATATAAACCTGGTTTAGTCTGCAGCTGGCTGACAGATCTCCTTGGTCAACAAATGCTTGATAAAAAGCCAAGTCCATTGATCTGACAGAGCTGGTATTCTTTCCATGCTGTGGATAGTACTAAAAAAAAAAAATCTGTAGAAGAGGTTTTTGCTATTCCATGAGTGAGCATATTCATGGATTGAGTGTATTATCACTTGATAACTTTTGCCTATAATTAAACTGCCCCCACTATGGAGAGTGTTGTTAGTAATTTCATACACGACTTCTGACATGTAATAGTTGCTTTACACATGCATGTCATCGTAATAAACATTACTTAGGTGAACTTGTTAACTGCTAGCTTTAATAAGTTAACTAATTACATGGTGCCAAGTCATTTCTGACTTACGGCAACCCTTTTCCAGGGTTTTCTAGGTATAGCTTATAAAGAAGTGGCTTACCATGGCACTCTTCCGGTGGCAGTTTGGGACTACAGTATGTAGCTTGACCAAACCACAGAGGAGGATGTTCTTTTCCAAGGCACAGTGGGGCATGGAATTCCTGACCTTTGTGCTCCACCTCACTGAGCTTTCCAGCCAGTTAACTGGAGGACAGGAATAGCAAAGAGGCTACTACCAGGATCTAGAGAAAGGGGAAATCCTGCTATGGTCCTCTACAGTGGGAGGAATGTTGTCGAGTTTCACTTTCCTCCTGTTCAGTTTGGAAGGAAAAGAATCAACAACTCAACATTCTATCTTCTTCCTGTTCGGAGGATCCATCTCTCTGGGTAAAAGATGTTGCTACAAGAGCTACATTTGGGTTTCTATATCTTCTCCATCAAGTATTGCCACTGTAGGCAGGAACCGCTTGATAATTCATTGTCCCGCTACTGCTTAAAGGCCAAACTTATTTCCTTGCTCAGGTGAGGAGGACTCACCTAGTAGACAGGTGGGGGAAATGCCCTTTATTAGTTCATTTATTTATTTGGAAATATATGACTGAAGGAGAAGGTTATAAAGGCAACTTGCTCTGCCTTGCAATTGATTCTGCTCCTGGGTGTAGTGAATTAGTTTGTCATCCACGTGCAATGGAGGTAGCTTCTATAACAGAACCATATGAATGGACAGAATTACTGCAAAGGGTTGAAGGATGCAGGATCTGTGGAAATCACAATAATTTAAATTTTAAAAATAAATAGCAAAATTATACAAAAATATTTTTTTTTCAAAAAGAAAAACCTGTATCAGTGCAAAGTAGCATTTCTGCTCAGTCCAATTCTACATAGGAGCAAGAAAGAGGCAGGCAGATGGTGTAATATGGCATCCTTCCACAGAATTCTTATCTTCTTTACACACCCACATTTTTCCAAAGTAAAGTGGAGCAGAAAGAAGGCTGCGATGCAGTTGTGTGAATCAGTCCGTTTCAGATGATGTCTCCCGGATGTGGATGTGGACAAAGAGGGAGGCTGGTGGGATCCCTGTGCCATCCTTGGAAAGAAGGTGGATGTGGCGGTATCCTGTATAGGAGACAGAAGTGACCAACATTTGAAGTTGCCTTGTTTGAGCAGGTGTGACAGCTGTTTTACTGCCTGAGGTGAAGGACAAAATGGTGCCTACTTTAGTCCAAATAAAAAAGATGGACAGCCTAGGAGCTGAATCTTCCTTTTTTATTTTAGACAATCAATAATCACATTACAAACACATAATACAGTTAACTTCATTCATCTTATTAAATATTTTAACATTCTAAACACCAGCTATTCGCATCATATAACAAAATTACAGTTAATCTCAAATCCCCATTCCATCCAGAAAGCTACCAACCAATAATCTGAGCCATCTAGATTATTTCCTAAATCATGTGACTTCTCATTTAGTGCATTAGTGTATTTTAATAAAGGTTTCCAAGTTTCAAAAAACTGACTGTGCTTTATTTCTCCTCTGTACATTCTGATCTTATTGGTCAATTTCTCCATCAAGAGCTTTTGCCATATCCTGTACAAAAATGTCTGTAATGAAAGATCTTGAACATGTATCCAGCTTTTAGCAATCTCACACCTTGCCGTCTCTGTAATATTTGCAATTAGGTCTTTATTAAGTAGCTTCTCATTGCCCCCTGTAAGTGCTGAAAATAATAGTAATGTTTCATTCACAATTCTTTTTGATTGGTCAGTATTTCTGTCCAATTGATTACACCATGCCAAAATAATTATATTTTTGGACACAAAAGCCATATGTGTTCCAAAGTTCCCTTTTGTCCACATTTTCTCCAACACTTATCTGATATATCCCTGTTGATTTTATGTAGCTTTTTCGTAGGGTATAGATGCCATCTGTGAACACATTTCAGAACCATTTCTTTTGTTTTAGCTGATACTGATTTACAGTATATAGATGTTTATTCCAAATGCTGTCTTAGATGCCATCTGTGAACAAATTTCAGAACCATTTCTTTTGTTCTAGCTGATACTGATTTACAGTATATGGATGTTTATTCCAAATGCTGTCCAAGCCTCCTCAGGTATATTAATATTTAAATTCATTTCCCAGGATGCTTTGGCTCTTCTGCCCTTACCATGTTCTTTCTCAGTAATACATCTATCAATGAGGTCAATCCTATCCTTTCATTTTTCTATACAGCATTGTTCAAATTCCGTTATTGGTCTTATAGGGAAGCAGTCCCCAACTTTTTTGGGACCACGGACCGGTTGGGGGGGCAGGCTCCGTGCACAGGGCGACATGCACCTGCGTGACTGTGGCACACCCCCTGCACGAGCACGACACTCCCCTCGTGAGCGCGACACACCCACTGTGTGGGGGGGCAGGGATCCGTCTCTGCAGCCCAGTTCCGGCAAGCCCACAGAATGGCACTGGGCCGCAGACCAGGGGTTGGAGATCCCTGTTATAGGGCCAGATATTTTATATAATTGTATCACAAAGCTCCTTATTTGTTTTATTTGTAGCCGATTGGTTCTTCTTTGCATTGTTTTCTCTTCTATTTGTCTAACAGCAACGGGTTCCCCTGATTCCAATAAGCCATTAATTCTATATATTCCAATTTGTTTCCAATGTTTAAATTGCACATATTTCTCATGAGATTTAAAGTCTGAGTGATCCAATAGAGGACATAAAGGCGATATTGGGGGAGCAAAATTTTTCATATGTTTTCACCATATATTTAACGTTTCCAAAATAAAAGGATTCTGTATTTGCTCTCCCTTTCTAAATAATTTTGTTGTGCAAACACACATATTTACAACGTCCATTTTCAATACTACAGTTATCTAGCATTGCAGTCATGCATTTTTATGAACTATCTTTCCAAGCATATTCTTCTAAGATTCATTTAACATGTTCAGTATATATAATGACATTCAGGCTATAATCATATTTTACTAAACAAGATTGTCTAATTACATCTCCCGTTATTTTGTTCTTCTCATGACCCCCCCATACCCACCTTTTCCCTTTCCCCCTTCCCTTCTCCACACCTCCTCCCAGCCAGAGTCAGTGAGAACAAGTCTCCAGCTTATATTCGAAATGTGCCCTGTGGGTCTGTGAGGAGCCAGGGAACTTAACGTCCCTGAGAAAAGATCAGCCCCATCTCATAACCCTCTCTCACCCTAATTATTCTCTAGATATGGTTATATGACAAATTTAAATTATCTATACAGTACTCTTAAACATTAAACATTCTGCTTAACATTACATTAAAATACCTTTTACACATAGTAGTATTTCTTATCTAGGCTTGCTGAGATGACACAGCTAGAGGAGGCAAACCTGCTCACTCTTAGAGACAGTTTTGCTTGGATGGTCCCAAATTCTTTCGGGAGTTCTGATGCTGCTCATATTACCTTATCACATGTATTTGCCCTTTCTACCACTAGAACCAGCTGAACCAACTGCCAACAATATATGCAGCAACCAATGTTTGACTCCTTTCCCCGAGGTGGGGGGACACAATGAGCTGTCCACGCCCACAAGGGATGCAAACACATAGCTTTTACTTGGTCTAGGGAAAGAAGCAAGATGGCTAAGGTAATGTAATAATTAGTCCAAATATTAACGGGAGAAACAAACCAGCTTGCCAGTGGTTCTGAACATACCGTCAAACTCACTTTCTGTCCATACAGCAAAGGAATTTTTAGGTATCATTTCAAGACAGAGGGTCAACCTGTGAATTCTGTGGAGGGGTGGGTTGTCATGGTTACTTTCATCCCCAGATTTTGGTAAAAGACTAGCCTGTGGTAACCCAGTCCCATGCTCCTGAAGGGAAAGACTCACCTAATTTGACACTGGTAAGAGGTAGCGTGTACTGCCCCACAAAGTCATTCCTTGATGCCATGTCATAATCTTCTACCACAAAGCGCAAAAGTGCCAGCTCTGGTACCCACACTTGGAACTGAAACGACTCACCCCATTGTGGATTAAAACCTGTTCAGATAAATTAAGGATATTGTCATGACAAAAAAAAATGGCAATGGTCTCCCTAGGTCCCTCTGGGCAATATCTGAATCCACTGAATCCAAAGATCGTCTGTTCCCCAGAATTATATGGAGGAATACATCAATTCTGGCTTGCTTATTTTGCCTCTAACTACTTCGGCTTTGGTGGTTCCTCCACTTGCACTTCTCTCTTTCCTGGCTCCACAGAATTGTATTGGGTCTGATAATGACCATTTAAGCTGTTATTCCATTTTAAACAACTCAGTGTAACCAAGCATTTAAAAACAAGGCAGAAGAGTGCACTTAATATGCAAGAATAGTAATATAAACCAGCATAAGAACAATGGCATGTACCATTCCACTGTTTTATTTATTCATCAGCCTTTACTGTAATGAACTCACTCACATTAGTGTACACAACCCTCCTTCCCATTTTTATATTCACAACCCAATGAGGTAAGCTCAACTGAGAGACACCGACTGGCTCAAAATTACCCAGTGAGTTTCATGGGTAATTTTGAACCTAGGATGTTCCAGGCCTTGCCCAGCATTCCAACCCCTACACCATAGTGGGCAAAATCCTGTTGCATGATTTCATGTCCTAGCACAGCCCATATTGGATGCCAGAAAAAAGTTATACTGAGAAAACGCTTCATTCCNCATTCAAAGGCTCTGCTGGGAAAACCTTGGGGAGCTTAGGGGCAGCTGGGGGCAGGGAATTTTTTTAAAGTTTTTTTTTAAACCACTGCTGAATTTGTGGTGACAGTCCCAATCCTTGCAATCTGATGAGCATATTCATGGCCTCCCCCTTTTGAAGGCTCTCAACTGCAACTGTCTTGAGGCTTCCAGAGACTTCCCCCTTAGGAGACTCAGAACCTAAAATGGAAAATAGGAAGCTTTTAATTATTGTAAATCAAATGTTTCCAGTGCCTGATCTAGGTTATACCGGGTGCAAAGTTATGCAACAAGGTTTTGCCCACCGTTACCAAAAGCACTTAGTCATAATTGCTTTTTGTTGGATTAGCCATAATGTACGTCGCAGACATGGATGTTCAAAGTTTCAAAATAAAGCTTATAAATATTGAGCAGTATTTTCTTCCCCCAAGATTCATGTTCTATTCCCTTACTACCTAAGTTTTCCCCTGTGCTTCCATGAAATCTGTAATCTCAGTTCCAGCCCTAATAGTTTGACACACACGCACACAAATGGAATTGAAGAAACAGTGGTGATCAGAAATGGTTAACATATCTTTTCAATTTGTGTTGTTTATTCCCATGGGGGGGGAAACTGTCTTCCTCTGAGATTTTTTGTGGGGAAAGGAGTGAGTAGCAGCCATCACTCCAGGTATCCTTGTTTCCTATCATACCTAGTGAAGCTGGATAGGCATTTGACTTGACTTACCCTGAGAAGCCCCTATATAACACTACTTCTTCCTTACAATGAGCAGTAGAACAGACTCACCATTGTTATCAATATATTTTGTCTCCTGCTTGGCACTGTCACCAGGGACACCATGAATCTCCACGCGCACTAGTGGGTCTACAATGGAGCCTTCCTTGCTGTTGGGCATCTTGGGGAGCTGTTGCCCACTAATAACCTAGGAAATAAGACCTAGGAAATAAGATTTCATGAGCACAGAAAAGCGATCCAGGCTACCGGTATAAGAGCTGCAATGTGTCTGTTGCAGCTACCCCGTGTTGGGACACTGTGCTTGTTCCAGTCAATATCCCAAGCTTCGTTTATCCAGCAGTAGTTCATCTGTTTTCCACTAACTAGACTGAGCAACAGATGACTCTCCAAATATTGTTGAACTGCAACTTCAGTCAGCTTTAGGTAACATAATCAGTGGTGTGGGGTGATTAGGACTTGCCCATCCAATAACACCTGACAGCCATGAGATATCCATCACTGTAATAGACAGGGACACTTTAATAGCTATGACAAGATGGCAGGGCAGAGAGGGACTGAGCAACTAGATCATAGATGGCCAACCTCCAGAGGTCTATGGAGCCACATATGCCCATCCTTCAACCTCGTGAGCCTTGTGGCACAGTGGTTAAGCTGCTGTACTGCAGCCAAAATTGTGCTCATGACCTGGGGTTCAATCCCAAGTAGTGGCTCAAGGTCGACTCAGCCTTCTATCCTTCAGAGGTCAGTAAAATGAGTACCCAGCTCGCTGGGGGGGGGCAATGTGTAGCCTGCATAATTAACTTGTAAACTGCCCAGAGAGTGCTTGAAGTGCTTTAGGGTGGTATATAAGCAGCACACTTTGCTTTGCTTTGCTCTTAGAGACTGCACTACTCCTGTAACACCCCCAACTCATTTTTGTTGCTGTTTTACAACAATGGGGTGTGGGTGGGTGTTTTAACCAAAAGAACCTCTTGTGTATTCTAAGGGCAAAAATATAATTAATGTTGTGTTTGCATGTGTGTGTGCTGTGGCAAAATTATCCACTGACAGCATATAGTGTGTGCAAGGGACTCTTTCAGCAACTTTAAACAGAGTTTAACGTGGTGTCTATGTGCTGGGGCCAGGGTTGGGCTCCTGGAAAGCCACATTGAACGCATATAGACTATATGTTGTCCCCTCTTGATCTAAGTCTATGATTAACATTACCACCCATGAACAAGTTTCATTAGAAATCTGGTATAATATTTCCAAACATGAGCTCACAGAGAGGGAGGGAGGGAGAGAGAGACTTTGGTTATGGTACTTTTGACCTACAGCCACTATCAGCTTTAAACCGCATGTTTGGCAGTGACAGATAATGGGAGCCATGTTTCCTAAAAGGCCTGAAGGACCAAAGGTTCCCCACTCTTCCACCCCAGCAAAAGGGGGATGTTTTCTATAACACATATAAGCTGCCTATCCTTCAAAGTTATAATCATTGAATATTACCCTGTTTGCATTTTCAGCTTGATAAAGTGTACTGGCTCCTAGAAATACAGAAGTAAAAAATTACTATTCTTTTTAATTGGGAAGGAGCATGAAGCACGTGCAAGAGTATGTTATTAGTACATGCAGAAGCTTCTAGACTCAAGCTCTGTTTTAGAAAAGTAAGATTAGGAAAGACTTTTACCTGAGACCCTAAAAGGGCCCTGCCACTCAACAATCTGCACTCTGTTAAGGAGTGCAAGTAAGCTTCCTATTTCAAGCAATTATTCCCTATATTTTCCCTAGTTAGCCATGGAGAACAAGTTCACAGTACAGTACCTTAATAATTAATGTCAGCGGGTTCCTGTCGCCTATGCCTTGGGGATTCTCAGGACTGAAATTTGTCTCTGTGTCCCTCATGAAACTTGGCTTCAACACATAGCCACAGCGGCCATTTTGACTGAAGAGCCCATCATACAGGTCCATCTCTGCACCAGCGGTCTGAAAATTCAAAGCCACTGAAATGGGAGACAGGAATCTAAGTTTTAAAAAACACATTGTGGAGAGACCCTTGTTGAATTACAGGTGGCTGGAAATGAGTAGTTGGAAAATTGTATGGCATGATACCACTGTCCCACAGCACTCTGTTCTGAAGGCTGCACGTTGTCCTAGTGCATGGAGCCATTGTCTTACACATCCCCACTTGAAGATTTAAGACAGCCAGAAAACCCAAAAACGTGGGATCTTAATCCAGAAGACTTAGAAAAAGCTATTATTTGATAAGTGTTCCACTGATGGAAAAGAGCAAGAGGTGGAGATTGCATACGGTCACCCGTGTAGTCAAGGTATCGGTTGGTGCCACTGTTTTGTAAACATTTTGGTTTGGAAGCCAATGTTTCAGACCCTGAATGTTTAAAATACCAGTTTCTTCCCTTTCTAGAAGCTGGACCCAGCTAAATCTCTAAGAGTGTCATTTGAAGATGATTTCGCTTGCTTTTTCAAGAGCCAACAGCAGAGTCTGATTTGATCTATTTTCTGCCAGACAGACGACATACAGGAGATAGCAAAGAAGCATGACTCTGCTCTGTGCCCAATCTGTTCCTTTTGGGTCGGACAGCTGGCCCACTCTTTTTGGAAGTGGGCTGTAGCAAGCAGGACTGGATTACATGTGGACAGAAGGGTTGCTTTAAATATTGTACTCAGTGGTGACCCTTTCCAGCGCATCTTGATATCGTGTCTTAGACTGCCATGAAGAGAGTATGAATTTGGTGCGAGAGTAATCTTAAGGTTTTATGGCTCATCAACACTTTATAAAAAGGAATGGGGTTTCCAGCTTTCCCACTTGGACCAATAAGCATCAGCCAACCACTACATCAGGGGAACTTTTTAAAAAAACCTATAGAATGTCCATAGTGTTTGAGTTTCCTTTCCGTTCCCAAACTTGGGTCCCCAGATGTTCTTGGACTACAACTCCCAGAAATACTAGCCAGCACAACTAGTGGTGAAGGCTTCTGGGAGTTTTAGTCCAACAACATCTGGGGACCCAAGGTTGGGAACCACTGCCTAGGGTTAAAAGCACTGGAGAAGAACCCCATTTTTTCACATGAGGCAGAGAAGGAACTACTGTTCACCCCTTCCCAGTCAAGGCACACAATAGCCAAGGTCAGTCAAGCTAGTTTTTCATCAAAAGCACAAAATCCCCAAAGCACCTATCACACCCCCAGCAGTGAAAATACAATAACATTTCCTCCCCTTTGAAAATACCCCAGATTTGTTGTCAGAGATTATTGTTTCCTAATTATTAGTTCCAGCCCTTGGTCTAAGCAACAGAAGAGTTTGGAAACTTTGTTAAAAATTAGTGACTCCTAAATTGTTAACATTAAGCATCAAATCCCAAAAGAGATATTTCTGAGCAATGATTGCCTGTCCCTGTCCCTTTAAATCATTACTAGCCATTTTCAGTTATTTGAAATGACTTTTACACATACATTAACACTACCACATTTTATCACTTAATGTTTTAAAGTACAGTGGGGTCTCTACTTAAGAACGTCCCTACTTAAGAACAATCCAACTTAAGAATAGCTCCATTTGCTAAATTTTGCTTCTACTTGAGAACAGAAATCCAAGATAAGAACAGGAAAAAAAAAAACCTTTCCTGCTCTTTTTTTAACCTTAGGTCATCTTAGGTGAAAAAAAATTCTCCCCCTAGTGGTAGAGTACATATTAACCAGCTTTGCATTACTGTAAGTAGAGCCATTTTCTTCAGCAATTTTTATAACATTGCCTAAGCACCAACATGAATGCTTCTGAAATCTAAGGAACACACCAAGGAGATGAAATGGGGGGAAGCTTCTGCTTTGCAGAATATTGACAGGGAAATCAGGAAGCTGAGAAAGAACATATTCACACATCACATTCATCACAACAAAAACATGCTAATCACCCTATCTCCTGAAAAAAGACAAAAAGCCGTTCCCATAGCTATAAATACTATCCAACAAACACCAACAGAGCATGGACAGAGTTCCTACTCCAGTCCTCTGAAGATGCCGGCCACAGAGACTGGCAAAATGTCAGGAAGAACAACCTTCAGATCATGGCCAAAGAGCCCGAAAAACCCACAACAACCAAAAGAACATATTCCTTTCCCTTAACTTCAATGGCAGTTGTACTTCATGCCTACCCATCTGACATCCCACGTTCCACATTGGCTTGGGGTTGTAATTGGAGGAGTCAGTCCGCAGCCCACTGGGAAAGATGCGTGCCAACTGCCAGGCAGTATGGCGGACAAAGTCATTTCCTGAAAGAGATTAGCATACCAGCAGTTAAGAAATCAGCCTTAATTCCCTATGCGGCCTGTTGGGATATGACAAGTCTGAGGTAAGGGTTGTTACCTACAAATTTCATAGCAGATGATGGCTTTGTTTTTTTTAAAATAGCAGACTGATCAGCTGCTTTTGAGAAGACGCTAAAAGTGTGTGGAATTTTTTTGCTCTCCCTATTGACGTTCAGAGGGTGAAACAGGGGGCTTTTGGCAAACATTCCTTTCATTCTAAATTGAGGACTTTGCTGTATTTGCTTCTGCTTACCAGCAAATGACTAAAGGGTCAGAGGGTGAAACAGGGGGCTTTTGGCAATCATTCCTTTCATTCTAAATTGAGGATTTTGCTGTATTTTCTTCTGCTTACCAGCAAATATCTAAAGGGGTTGATTTTTGAGAAGGCTAGAGATTTTCTTTTGTATTGAACAGAGGGTGAAACAGGGGGCTTTTGGCAATCATTCCTTTCATTCTAAATTGAGGATTTTGCTGTATTTTCTTCTGCTTACCAGCAAATATCTAAAGGGGTTGATTTTTGAGATGGCTAGAGATTTTCTTTTGTATTGAGAAGCCACAGAAGCCTTTTAAAGTGATAAACCAACAGTATTCAAGTGAATTGAAAGTGAAGCTGAGAAGAGAAGAATATAATTTTCCTATATTAGAAGACAGCATTTCACAATATTAAGATGTCTACAACTCCAGCGACTACTCCAGAAGCTACTATATCCACTCAATGTTTTCAACTGGATTTAAGTAGCAACGGTGGTGTATTTGCAATTCCAAAGCTGAACCAGAACAATTTTCAGATGTGGGATGCAAGATTAAGAGTATCTCTTCAAGTACAGGACTCTTGAAATGCTATAGACCAAAATTATGCCTGAAGGTCAGCCAGCACAGAATGAATATAAAATGAAAGAAGAAAAAGCTTTAATGATGTTATATTCTTGTACTGAAGACCACGAGACTCCATTAGTAACTAAGTATAAAAGAGCTAAAGGACTACATAATGCTCTAAGAAGAAAATATTTTACCAGATCAAATAAGAATGTGATATTTTTGGAAGAGATTATATAACATGGAAATGAAAGAAGGAACTAGCATTGATGTGCATTTGGATGAAATGTTAAAACTTGTTTCAGAGGTTCAATCTGCAGGAGCAGAGATTTCTGATTCCAAATTTCACACCTGTATATTATTCAGCTTGCCACAATCTTTTGCAAATCAGAAAGCTACGCTTGAGTGCATTGCAAAAGTGGACATGGACCATAGAATTGCCTATTTGAGAAATTCCAGATTTAAATGGACAATGGATAACATACCTGAAGAAACATCTATATTGAGAATGAGACTTGATCCTAAAGAAAGGAGATGTTCATTATACACTTTCAAAGGTTGGGCACAGCACCAAATACAGTGTTGTAGATTTAAAGGTGCAGAAGTTCAAAGGCCCAGAAAGGCAAGTGTTTTCATTGAAAGAGTGGTCCCTAGTGGTTGGGGACATTTCAGCAGTAATGGAAATGTCAAACCGCCGCATGGCAGATCAAATATAAGATACAAGCAAAGGTCTAGTGATGGCACAGATGGTCAAAACAATAACCAAGTGTTCCAAATATCTGATTATCAAGGTGTGAGTGATAAAATACATTTTCTTCTTGATAATGGCAGTTTCATCCATTTTGGTCAATTTTGAAAAAGCATCTGCGAACTTGATACAGAGAATAGACCACAGCTATTACAAACAAATGAGCAAAGATTAAATGTGCTTGGAATTGGAACAGTACCTTTAAGAGTTCTCACTTCAGTGATGTTATTGATTATATAATCTAAATGTATTCTATGTTAGATCTTGAGAAGGGGTGTTGGGATATAGCAAGATCTACATTCCAGCCATTATGGGGTCAATATGATTGTCTTAAGTGGATCTCACCTGGAAGTGGGACCTACTTTACTGCCAATGATTTTTTTTCTCTCTTCCTGGTAAGACTCTACAAAAGGGGTTAATTGCTTTTGCCTGACTGTAGAGAACTTCCCACACTGATGCAGACAGACAAAGCAAGGCAGAGACTGTGTGTATTGCCTGAGCTGCCGTCACCCTATTTGCTTTTACTATTTTGATATGTTTTGCTATGTAGTTTTATTAGTTTGTTATTTCACTAGGAATGCCCTGTTTACCCTTTCCTAAGAATCTTAGATAAAGTTTGTTACTTTCCTACCTCATCGTCATCTCCGTGCTTTCAATTATTCCCACAGGACTAGAAAAGCATATGGGAAGGAAGGCCTTTAAATCAAAACAATTGTTTTCCGAGCAGAGATGTATGCAGAGAAGAAATTTGGATGGATGGATGTGTCAGGCTCCAGGAAAGCCTGAAGAAGACAGAACCAGTCTTCCTTGGAAGAGACAGGGAACTTGGAAAGGTAAGTGGAAGAAAAGTCTAATCCACTCAAAGCAGCTGATGTGAAAGAGAAGGAGGACTTAGGATTCCTCTTTTAAAACATGGCCTTGCAAGGTGCAGAGCCACCATAATATGGTAGAACTAATTTTAGTAACAGCCAGAATCCTGCTGGTATTCATGCAAGGTTTGTGTAATTTGCTAAAGCTAATTGTGGCTAATAGATGAGGTGCCAGGCAGCATATATGGAACTTGTCAGCCATTTGACCAGGCCTGTGAGCAAAACAGCCACCAGCACTTTGTCAGTTGGCTGCAATGTGCTGTTTCAAATTACCCAAAGTGGACATGAACACCAATAGGATTTGGGCCCTATCTCCTTCCCCAATCCATCCTGAAAACTGAGACATGTATGAATAACAGATTTGGGAGGGCGAACAACATAATGTTGCAAGTCTGACACCTTTATTATTGTGAATGGATTTATCTTCACTACATTTTTCCATTTTAATGTCTCCTGATGAGAATTAAGAGTTTTACAAAAGGATGTAACTGTTCTGGATAATTGGGAAATCCTTCTCCAGTTTTTGAAGTGCAGTACTTTAACATAGCTTGGGAAAGATGTCAACTTCTAGCCGAAAGGGGTGGTGCAGAGAAAAAGCTTACCTTTTGAACTGGAAGGTGAGGAAAAAACTAAGAATTCTTAGTTTGAATTTTGTTGTTGTTGTGAGGACAACACTTGTGCATGTGTGGGTGTGGCCTGGAGCAAGGGCTGCAGAAGTTGTATTCAAGACGCTGATGCAGAGTTGGTGGACTTGCCACCTGTTTACAAGACTCTGATTGCTTCCACAGTGCTCTGTAAACAGCCATGCTTTCTTGTCTGATGGCAATTAAAGCTTATCATTCATTTGGGGGAGCTGGAGGAGCAAGCATCAATACTTGAGGAGGTGAAGGTCCCATCTCCCCATTCAAAGCTTGGCCAAACTGGCTTCTCTCCCAGACACCCCTATCCCTGTTTCTCACCAGCTTCCCGGATGAGCTTGCGGGCCTTGGATTCAGTGAAGGAAGACATCTCATAAGGCTTGTAATGGCTACGGGAATGCTGGAAGCTGCAGAAGGGCACACTCTTGCAGTAGACAATACAGTCTGAAAGCTCCTTGGAGAGGGACTGTTTCGCTTTCTGCAAAGAAGTTGGATGACAGCTCTGCAAATTATGCCTATGCGTGGATGTGCACACCAAGCAATTCAAACAGCACCAATATCGCCAACAAAAACAACCAAAATAAAGTTGTGATTTTCCCCCCCTTTCACACTTCTACTGCCTTTAACCACTGCAGGACCCATGGAAATTCAGCAATGAGACTCTTCCCCAGGCAGGAGGAAACTTCAATGTTTTAAAACAGACTGCATCCAGGACTGTATCTCCCTTTATGAGTCTACCTGGAGATTGAGATAATCAGGAGAGGCCTTTCTCTTGCTCCCACAAGCACTCTTGTTAGGGACACAGGAGAGCCCCCCACCCCCTGGCTGCTCCCAGACTCTGAAACCCCCTTCCATGGGAGATCAAACTGGCTCCACCTTTGTTGTCCTTCTGCAAGGAGATAAAGACCTTCCTCTTCAGGCAGGCTTTCCTTCAAATGACGAAGGGGATTTTTTTTTTTTAAGAGAGCATTTTATTCTGTGTTTTACTTGTGTTTCTAATAATGTTCTTATTAGAAGTTTTAATATGATATTTTTTAAAAATATTGTATCAAATTATTATTTGGCTTTCAACTTTGTTTCTTTTAATACTGCCTTGAATCCTTTAGGAGAAAAGCAGCATATAAATATTTTTAAATAAATAATAAATAAATAAATGTTGACAGCTTTGTCTACCAAATTTCTGGCTTTCACCCGGGTAGTGGTGTAGAGTGGTTTTCCTTAGAGGTTAAATCAGCAGAACCAGCATTTCTTATAAATGCTCCAAGTTAGAGGATAGAAGGAAGAGCCATAGCTCAGTGGTACCTGGCATGCTTCACATGCAAAAGATTTCAGAGCCAGTTCCTGGTGTTCCCAAAGCTTGAGACTCAGCAGAGCTGCTGCCAGTCAGAGCCCAGAACAGCCTTTGTCAATGTGGTACCCTCAGGATGTGATGGAGTACATTTCTCAGCATAGCCAGTCATCAGTGATGATGAGAGTTGTCGTACATATCTGGAGCATGGCAGACTGGGGGGAAGGCCACAAATAGATGAACTCGTGATCTTACTCAAGTATGAAAAGCAGCTTCCAACCTTCTCTTGCTAGGAAGAGCTTCCCTTGCTGCTGATGTCCCATTATTTAAAGACTAAACTAAAAGTCAAACTATGTGAGACACTCCTCTCCACATTTAGAACCAGAGCTCAGTCAAGGGACAAAAGACATCTGTGGTCCTACCATGAGATTTTTCTCTCCTGTGTATTTTTGCAAACAAACTTGCTTTCTTTTGTGGTTAATCATTATCAGGAAGAAAGGGGTTCATTTGCAAGTCTCATTGCTCAAGCCCAGAGCTCTGAGTAACTGTATTGCTGGAGGACTAATATGCTGTCATCTTACAATCATGAACTGAGTGTCTCGTGTGTACTTTCTCTTCACAGTGTGGGCTTCTTTGTAGAATCTGTATAACTTGTAGAATCTATGGATATAACAAACCTCCACCTGTATATACCATACAGGTCGATGTTTGTTATCAATCACTAATTTGGAGTTGACATGAAGCCTGTAAGGATTTGCCTACCCAGGATGCTCAACCATACCTTCTCTTTCCTCTTGTCTTCGTTGCGCAGGGCTTCTTCCTCTGCCTCAGGCCCCTCTTCCTCCTCCTCCTCCTCCATATCTTCCTGCTCAGGCACCTCATCTGGTTGCCCATTCAGAGAATCCTCCAGATAGCCAATCCTCTTCCCCTTCAGAATGATCTTGCCCTTCAGTTCCTGTGTAAGCACACAGCAGCCACAACGTGACATTTATGTTCATGGAAAGGGGTTGTCTCTACCTACAGGAATTTCTGCTGAGCCAGGATATCATACTTGATCGATCTGCCTGTTAAAACCCCACTTTTTCCCACACAGCCATGCCGGTTTCATAACCCTCCCATCTGAAACAATGTTCCAATGGATTCCCCCTCAATCTTTCACCTCATCTTTAAGACAATTTAAGTGTCCTCAGTAATTAGAAAATTAGAAGAGCTAAGTCTGTTCACTCCATCCGTGCAATTAAAACTCTGTGATGGCCCTTTAAAAAAATAAAGCCTCACACAACACCCTTACCTCGGGTGAAGGCAGCTGCACAGGGACCCGCCCATCAATAGTGGTGGTGAGGAGCTGCTCTCCCAGAATTCCTTTCAGCTGTTGCACCATTATATCCTGCTGCTCTATGCTGCAGTGGTTTTCAATAGACAGGATAACAGGGTAATCGGAAGCCTGTGAGACCAAATGAGGCCATTATGGTTTAAGAGTTTGGGAGGTTGAATCTGGAGCTTAGGGACACAAAGTTGGGAGTTTGGCAACTGAAAAAAGCTGGGAGCAGGATCATGATGTGAGGGTATAGCAAACTGGCTTTTTATCTCAGAATAATTTGATTTGAGGATGTGGTGGTTGGAGAGCAATGAAGTGACTATTTTGATGTGCGAAAACCATGGAATCACAGCCAGTAGAAAAGGAGGCCTTGTTCTAAGTTCAGTTTCAGAAAGCTACATGACATTCAAATCAACTAGGGCAACACTCCAATGCCTCGTTAAATTACAACAACGGTTGAGGCTCATCTTTTCATCTACCCACCCCTTTGGAAAAGGCACAGCATTGTACATGTGGAAGTTGACTGGACTGGCTGTACTTCAAGAGGGACCATGAGGAAGCATTCTCCCTCCTATCTGAGGCACTCGGCTGGTTTAGGAGGCCAGCTAAGCACAACTCTATTCTCTATGAGAGAGAGACAGTTGGAAAGTTTATGAAAACAGTCCAGAAGCTACCATTGCTGCACATCCACTCACAGCATCTGCCATAGGAAACAATTGCCTTGTAAGGGTAGAGCCAGTTCTATTGCCTCTCCTCTTGTCTCTCCATAGTGTCTTCCACATCCATCCACAGTAACTACATCCTAGTAACCCCTTCAGCTCTGGCAGAGGGAAACCACCATTTCTTCTTGCAGAAATGTGCCACCTACCCGGAATGCATATTTCTCAAGGGTTGTCACAACTTCCCTGAAGGGGATCTTAGAGGTGAAGGTGTGGCCGTGGTAGACAATGGGCTCCCCGTTTGATCCATCCCAGCAATCCACCTCTAGGCACCGACAGCCTCTCTTTAAAGCCCTGTAGAAGAAAACAAAAAAGGTACAGTACTGTAGTCAGTGAGCCCTTCTTGCCCCGCTGGTGCACAGGCAGACTCTTTTGTTACTGGGCTGCAACATGAGAACGCAACGTTTATCTCATCTGCACACCAGCTAAGCCTTTTCAGCAGTACTTGGCAGTAACTAGTGGTACCACCAAGTAGTGAAGTACTGTAGTGTGGTACAACTAGTTGGCACAGTACTTGGCTAGCTGTAATGTATTACAGCAATGTACTTGCTCAGAACAAGTTTCTGTTCAGGTAAATAGGTAATATAACACCTATCTGCTGTGTTACTTTTTAGATACAATGGCCCAAATCCTCTTGTTTGTTTCTTTGTTTATTTATTCCATTTATACCCCGCCTATCTGGTCATTGTGACCACTCTAGGTGGCTCTTGCATAGTTACACTGGCATAGTACACACACTTTTGGAGGCAAATTCCCTTAAGTTAAGAAACCAGCATAGATATTATATCTTTCACTCTAATTTGTGTGATTCAGTGTGCAACTGATAATGTCTATGGTGATTTCAAATGCCAATTTATATCATTTGTATAGCAATTTACACCATTTGCAAGAGGATGTTGGCCAATGAGTAATACCTAAGTTAATAAAAATTACATGCGGTCAAGTCAATTTTTACTTCTGGCAACCTTTTTCAGGATTTTCTTGGTACAGAGCATTCAAAACTGTTTTTTTTTTCCTCCTGGGAGTTCCCTCAGACTAGGCAACTTGCACAAGGTGACATAGGCTGGTCAGTTTCGAATTTAACTCCCAACTTTGACTCCATAGCCAGGTATCTACCTCACTGAGCCGTCCAGTCAGTTAATACCCAAGTTATCTAGGTATAAATGAGTAACACCTAAGTAGTTGCAACATTGTTTTCTACATGTAACAAGTGACACCAAATTAATGTCATCTAGGTATAAATGAGTAACACCTAAGTAGCTGCAACATTGTTTTCTACATGTAACAAGGACATTTTAAGATAATTTTAGAGGCATTTTTAACTGGAATTTTTCAGAATTTATGCCATTCTGCTGTCAGTCCTGGATAGCAAGGAACATGCTTTTTTGATTTGCTTTTTAAGAAAATTCTCACAAATATTTCAAATATTATCACAAATATATCAGAATTGACCACCAGAGGGAACTTTAGAGTCTTTTGCTGCATTTTTCTGGCATGTTGGTAATAACAACGAAATGTGTTGATAATGCACACAACATAAATTCTTTATACGATCAATAATAACAACGAAATGTGTTGATAATGCACACAACATAACAAATTCTTTATACGATCAGACAACAAAATGACAAGAACTTAGTTGCTAAGGTTGAATAGCACACGTTTGGTAATATTCTGAGCTCTGTCTTAGACATGAAGGCTCTTGTCATACCTCATCTATGTTCACTTGATACAAGCATCGATTGCCTCAGGCATTCCTCTGCTGTTGAAATGTGTTGATAATGCACACAACATAACAAATTCTTTATACGATCAGACAACAAAATGACAAGAACTTAGTTGCTAAGGTTGAATAGCACACGTTTGGTAATATTCTGAGCTCTGTCTTAGACATGAAGGCTCTTGTCATACCTCATCTATGTTCACTTGATACAAGCATCGATTGCCTCAGGCATTCCTCTGCTGTTTAAGGCTTTTCCAATTCTTTTTTTTTTCAGTTTGGTTTTTAGACATTGACTGAAATCCTGTTGTGCAGTTCCACCTGTGCAACAGGAATGATGCCATCAACAATTGCCAGTGATTAAAGGCTTTCATTTGAGATTTTAGGATATGCACAGCTAGCACTCAAGGTGAGGAAATTGTGTGCACCCTGCAATTGCAAAAGGAAGCCTTTAATAACTGGCAATCTGCTACTGCCAATGAAATCATTCCCATTGCGCAGGCAGAGCCCAATAGGATTTTGTCCATTAAGTGATAAGCATATGAAGAAGAAAGGCCAAGGGTAAAAGAATAACAGAGCTTTTACAAAAAGTGATTAAGTTTCAGTTTTAGTTTTACTTCACAACTGAAATGATAATATTGGTTCTTTCATCAGTCTTCCTGCTCTGTGCAGTGGGCTTTTGCATCAAACATACAGAACATTTTTCATAGTTCAGCTCTGTAGAGAAACAGGTGCTACACTCAGATCAGACTATCCATATTACATG